ATTTGGACACAGAAATTCAAATATATCTTGACGATAAACCAGTATTAAAGTACATAAGTTATTGGCTCGAATTGTCGTTAATCAATTTGTTTGAAACAGGCGCACAAAGAATATTTTTCATACAATCATCAGTCGCCCTGATCGAGAGAGTTTTTAATTGATCCGATTTAATTATGTTTCCAAAACGGACAATATGACCAGTTTCTCCTCTGGACAAACTAGCATATTTTGTAAGATTGATCATGCTATCTTTTACGCTATTTTTCTTGACTGAACGAAGTGCCGATTATTGTAACTGACAGAATTCAATTCACCAGATTTTGGCCACTTTTAATGCTCATCAGACCTTTTTTGGAAATTATGTCGACTGAGTGAAACGAAACGAAATCAACTGCTTTTCATCAGAAAAAATTAGTCTTTCTAGGGTGCATTTATCATTCGACCACTCGTTCTCGGTTATTTTAGACCGTACACATTGCGAAAAAGGATAGCTCCATTTTCCGACAGCTGTCGGCGAGTGGCATAAGGTTTAGTAGTATTCACAGTTTGTATACCCATGAACACCATGAAATGATGTACGAACGTGTATGAAAAAATGATAATGATAGATCTCACAAGTCAAATAGGCCACAATGTTCAAAGAGTTGAACATCTAAAAGAAATATCGGAACAATTAAAAAGCGATCCTGTTCCAACAGCAACATCAGTATTGATAACCGTTCTAGTAATCAAAACCGAAGCCTCAAACAGTTCAATAAGATACTGTTACACAAGATTTGAATCAGACAAAAAAGATTGTTGAAGAAGCTAAAACACGTTTTATATCACAATTATACAAGGCTTTTAATCTAGCTACCAGGGCTCCGTATGGTCCGGTGTGGTCCCAATTCTTGAGATCGGACCATAACTTTTTGGAACCAGGACCAATCCTGACCATACATTTTTTGCACCACTTCGGATCATGAAAATTTTTTTCCTCCTTTTTGAAGATCCATTTCTATTGTGTAACGCAAAACTGTTTAATTTCAATTTTTATCAAACCTGAAAACAAGCTGTTTCTTGATTAAACATTCCACAAAGCTTATCTAGTCGATGAACAAAAACACAAAGAGATCTCTAAAAGGTTTTGCAATCGTGACCAGTTCAAACCATTAAACTTTTTAAAAACAGGAACCAAGTCGGACCAAATAGATTACGGTCCGGTCTGACTTGGTTCTGAACCGGACCATACGGAGCCCTGCTAGCTACCATTAATACATACAAGATGTATCAAAATTTCTGCAGAATAATACAATTCGAACATACTGACAAAATGAGAATATCTATTCTCAGATATTCAACACGAAACATTCCACTATGTTTCAGTTAGAAAATGAATTGTCAGAAATTTAAATTGTAAATCAATCGCTGTTTGTGGTGGACTGTGAAATAACACGCTTCATTTCTTGACTGAATAACTTCTTCCATATGTGGAGTCACTATAACTCTGTCACTATAAACCTGTTTGTGATTTCAAATATACCAAATGAAAGCTCGATAGCTCTTCTGTATAATGAAAAATTTCTTTTTTGGTGGAGACTTTCCTTGGCGGAGTTAAAGGATCAACGAGTAGGACGACTATAGTTTTAGTGTTCAAAAGTCTTCATACGATTTTTCTAAAATTCGTTTCTCTTCACAGAAAAGTGACAGAAAGTCTGGCAATATCTCATTTGTAGAAGAAACTGTAATTGTTTACTTTCTACAATTATCGCAAATATTTGCACCATTGAAGGGAATGTCAGTGGATAGTAAAGGGAGAGTAGCTATTGAAGGCCGCTATTGAAGTAGACTGGGGAGAGTAACTAAGAAATTATAACAAGTAGTCTTATGAATAACTCATAATATCTCGCTTCCGGTCAGCTTTGACCCATTCGAGATGAGTGACATGAAAAATGGTGTTTTCTGCAGCTATTTTGGTTATCGATATAAGCTCATAAATAACAATATATTCATACTAAAAAAGTTTTATTTCAACTAATAGCTAGGCAATTGAAGCCATTGGCACAGTGCACTCGGAATGAAGGGAAAAATAGGTTCTTTTCACTTCTGCGTCATCCATTGCTATGAGAATTAGAAGTAACTGTTATGACGCTCTCCAGGTCATATTCTTAATCAAAATATATATTAAAGTAATACGTAATTGTTTTGAAGAGTACCATTGTAAAAAAATAAACATACACAACTTCCATACACTGATATTGGTTTCTCTGTTATTTTTTTCATTGTAAACTTTGACTTCAATAAAATTAAGCCTATAATAAATCATTTTTCTTCATTTTTCAAAATAGTTCATGATAGGAAGAACTTTCTAGCTGTATACAGATCAAATAAGCACACAGTTGCAAAAAACCGCAAGAAAAACCAAATAAACAAAAAACTAAAGTTTCATATCACTCAACCAGAATGGATCGTAAATGACCCATTCTACATGCAGGTTGCGTATTTATCCTGTTTTTTCTATATTTCCTGTTTTTGTATGAGAACACCCTGTTTTATCCCGGTTTTCGAAATTTTCCTATTTTTCCTGTATTTTGGCTTCTTTCTGCAGTCTTACTGTTGACTGCGGTAAAATCTGTTAGAAAGTCTTTGCCTCTTACGTGAATCCAATGAGCCAGTTAAACAAATATTTTTACTTTATTCAGTCAACCAAGAAAAGAGCAGACTAACAGAAATTATGTTTACACTAAGCATGAGAATGTCCCCATAAAGACTGACTGTATAAATTCTACACACTCATCTCGAAAGGCTGAGCGAAAGAGGTAAGAAACATGAAAAACAAAGAAGACAAAGGCGCGTCGGAACCAGGAACCAAAAAACTAGTCTCGTGAAAGTAAAATTTTCATTGTAAAATCAAGTTCTAGTGTGAGTTTCAAACTCGTTTTTCTATCAAATTTTTTCTTGCAAGGTTCCACAACGCAGTACAATAGCGAAAAGCCGCATTGAACATTTCGCCAGCGGCGAAACATTTTTTCGTGTTCTATGGCCAAACTTTTCATCGGAATCAAACAATTAACTACAGGATCGGGACCAGAAAGACTAGTCCGATCCACCTCTAGTTGTTGTACGTATAGAAAAAGAGGAAGATGAACGAAAACAACAATAATAATACTGGACGAATAATTAAAAAGAGGTATAACCTTGGTACGTACGATTATCTATGACTATGTTTAATGCTGTAACCACCCCTCACATACTTGAAGTTCATCCCCTATTAGAAAAACATTTTGGCGAAAGTTTTTTGAAAATTGCCCTATAGGACATTTTTCGATTTTTTAACACATTGTGATAAATCTCACTTGTCGTTTTTCTGCATTTGCTTATTTCCTGTATTTTTGAAAAAATTCATTGACTCTCCTGTTTTTCGAAGGAAAACAATCCTCTCCTTTTCCTGGCTTTGGAAAGTGGATAGTACGAACCCTGTATACTTCCACCGTGAAAGAACTTCGCTCAAATTTAACCATACTTTGTCATATTAAGCACTCGCATAAGCTATTTCTGCGGTCAACTCAACACAAATTTGCTGGATTAGCACCAGGAGGTAAAAGGTTAATTATTAAGTAATTTATATTTATATAGATATTTCTATTGCGGAAAGAGAGTGAAACTTCTTTTTTCTTTTGTTACTCACAAGATAATCATAAACTCTAGCATTGATACTATAACACATTATTCATGTATTTATAGATGTTTATTTGTTATTAATATTTAGTCCCAATAATTATAAGTTTTATATTATTTAATACTCTTCTTGTAAGCTTCTAATGCAGCAAAAAGAGTAATTTCTCTCGATGATTTCAGCTATGAGTACTTATTCTCTGCCATCTATTCCCATCGAAATTTCAGCGACATCTGTGACTAACTATATCAGAATCTAGATTAGTTTGAACAAATATTTTCTAATCTTTTCTATTTAATGTTAAAAACGTTAATAATTCTGATTCCGGTAGTTTTGTCTAATGGCTAACTGGCCAATACTAGGCAACAAGTGTCGTCACAACAACACATTGTAGACAAAATGAAAGCCATGAGAATGTTGTTTCTGTAATTAAATAGTGCATTCACCCATAATCCTAAAAGCCTTAGAGTTGTTCATTTGATTAATCGAAATAGACCTGCAGTCAAAAATTTATAAAACATACACACAAGCGAAGTACGAATCTAGTTTTTTGTGAATATCCAACTCTTTGTGCACTCGCCGTCTGTCATGTGTTCTCGTTTGTTCACTTTTGTTTTTGCGTGTATGATCTTTGTGTGAAAGTTTCCTTTCGTCAGAAACGAGTTGATTTACTGCACGCATTTTTATCTCTACTAACATACTATTTATCTATCTTAGCATATTTGTTCAAAAAAAGTCTAATGAAGATTAGTTGTTGCATACGCTAAGAGATGGCAGCAACTGTGATCTTCGTTATTTCATAAACGATTACTGAATAAAAAGAGATATTCAGCATTCTATGAAAATGTTAAGAGTTTGTAAAAACAAAAAACTACTGCTATGAAAGAAAGGCTCCTCAGTTATTTAAGTCACTGCCAGTTCATAGGTTGAGTTTAACAATTTCTTTGTGTTATGTTTACATCAATGAAGTAGATCAGCTCTTCTTCGTGTTGTGGCTTTCAATTAGTGCTTGTTACTTTATCTTTCAGACTTGTTTGATAATTTTTGAATACTCCGTTATTCTCGGTTAAAAAAGGAGCCATGTTTTGTTAACAAAATTGTAAGTGTAGCTTAAAATATGGGTTCTGGCTGCTCATCCAGTAACGGTGCACGGACGCGAGTCAAGCTTAATAGTGACCGCACAGAAAATATCAACGAGTCTCCAGTGTATCGAACAGGTTTGAATCTTACTTTTTTTATGTACAATTGCCGTTGAAATCTGTATGTTTACACATTAAGATGTAACCAGAGATGTTTACTTTTTTTCTTTATTTATCTAGGAAACCGTAAAACAATAAACACTGTCATGAACGGAATAAAAAACGATCATCAGAATGTCCATCTAGTACAATCAAGTCATGGAACAGATACGTCTGACAAACCTCAGCAAATCGATATATCAGATGGAAAATTTCAACAACCGATTACAGTAGAAACAGGAGACAGTGTTGAATTTGTAGTTAATGCGGACGCAAAACAGTATGATGTTATTCAAGTTTATCGTGATAGATCGGATTTTTATCGGGTACCAAATGGTATCGAACTTCGAAATATCAGCAAGGATCAGACAGGGCCTGTGTCATTGTCGTTTGATTTAACAAACGATGAAAAAGGACGAGAAATTTATTTTTATATTGGTTTGTCAGCTGATAATACAAAAACAGATCCAAGACAAAAATATCTACAAAATACATGTGAAAATAATAAAATTAATATTAAGCCAGTTGACGCAAAATTTTCTTATCTTGACACTGAAGACAATCGAAAAGTTTATTTGCGAAAAAATGATATTTTAGAAATCGATTGGATAAAGGCAAAAGGAGCGTATCGTATTGAAGAAAAAAAATATTGTCCAGTATCAGGCGGTCTCTATACAATATCAGATACCAGTAGTCAAACACAAAAAACAGCACAAAGGGCAACATTTAAAAAACAGATTGATCAATTGGGAATATCTTATTTTATACGTGTTGACGAACATAAAGCTGTGAAAGATATCCTTGTTTGTATTGTTGAAAACAGTTACAGATACAAATATGTTCGGTTAACGGATGATAATAATGAACTAAAACCAATAGTCATTGATCAAGATGATTGGATTATCTGGGAGTGGGATACGAAAAAGAAACAATCGATCAAGCAAATTGATCCATATAAACTCGATGACAAAAATCAACACATAGAAGTAAATTATGTTTACTATCAAAAATTGACTGATTAGTTTAAAGTCAATTTTAAATTCCTCTCTCTCTCTCTCTCTCTCTCTCTCTCTCTCTCTCTCTCTCTCACACACACACACACACACACATCAAGCAAATGTTTTAATTAATTAAATTTAATGAAATATTTTTTTTAAATTTTAGTTAAAGTCTGATGGTCATTTTTTCTGGCCTTTTGAGCCAAACAAACGTGGTATATTGTATCATCAGTTTACTGAGCCAGGTGTCTATTCTTATAAAGATGCCTCAAATAATATTGGGACAATTATCGTGGAAGCACGAACTATAATTTATTCATTACCACTTTTAGAGGGACAATTAGGTAGGATTTTTGTTTTGTGTTTGCTGCTGATATATTTCGTATTTATTTCTCTCTGCTTTATCTAGTTCATAAAGTATCAACAAATCATATGATTCAATTTAATTGGACGGCCAAGCAAAGAGTTCAAGACTTTGCAATTACACTTGATTCTTCTTCGTCAGTCATTCGTGAAACGCATGGCGGATTAGCGGGAGTATTTGATTGTGTTCATCACAAATGCCAACGAGTTGAACCATTATTTCGTCAACATTTTTTCAATTATGAAACATTTTTAATGAATATACCAGCACATGGATTATACAATTTCAAATATTCAACTTCAAGTGATGAAGAGTTAATTAGTGTCGTGGTTGAAAATGCTATTGATGTTAGTTGAAAAAAAAGCAATTAAAAATTTCTTTTTTCAGTTCAATCAAACATTTTTACTCCGCTTGCTTGATAAAATGTAAAATGACAATTTTTTTACTTAGAATCATCGTGTTAGATACAATGCTGATGGTTTTGATATTTCAACAGTATTTATAAATCGACTAGATCATTTTTGGTTTGAGTGGGACATTGCAACATTAAAACAATTACATCAAACGGATGAATATGGAAATAAACTCAACAATGGTTTCAGTTTGAAACCAATAGAAAATGGTTCACGATGTTTAATGAAACAATTTGAAAAGATTGGTGTTTATTATTTTTCAAATATTGACGATGATTATGATAAAACCAAACAGACAACGACATCAGGTAAATCTCATCCACCACTGGCAATTATAGTATTGCCCGAAATTAAATTTCATTATAAAACTATACAACAACACCTTTTTGATCCGCAACCAATGGTAACAAAATTAAACGATTTTGTTATATGGGAGTTTCTCGAACCCATTCAACATAATGTAATACAATTGATGCAAACAGAGAATATTCAAGATCTTGCATCGTGTCATGATCGGGCCGAAAGAGGGCAAAGTCGGCAATGTTTAGCAATGGAATGTGTAGACACGGGCATTTATTATTTTGCTAATCCAGATTTCGAAAAAGTTGTGTCGTGGGACCAAGTACGAACGAATCTACTATTGTTTTTTTAAAATAAGAGAGATCTGATAATTTTTTGAATAACTTCTGATAGAAAAGTGCTACGAATCTGTGATTTTTGCCATTGGAGAGCAAAGAGTTTTGAGCATCTTTCTATGGAAAAGTCGGATGAAGTATAGCACATGCAGGTGTTGTACCAACTTTTCACCACGTTCTTGAATTTTCTTCTGAAAACAAGCATTGCCACTAGATTGAGCATAGTCGAAAACCTATGCACAGAGCTGTTTTCAAGATTATTAGAGCTAATCAGACTGAGATGGGTAGATCCTATGGGAACGTCTCTAATGCCTGAATTATGGTAGATGAAGACTTAGGACTTGTATAGTTTTGTAGAACACCATCGGGTGATTCGAACTCACGTTCTAGCATCAAAATTCGAAATGTGTTTAGTGGAGGAGATCTTGCCTAAAAAGTATTGATGAGGTACAACACCTCCATGTGTTAGACTTCATCCGACTTTTCCATAGAAAGATGTTCAAAACTCTTTGCTCTCGAATGACAGAAATCCCAGATCCGTAGTACTTTTCTATCAGAAGTTATTCAAAAAATGATCAAGTCGCTCATATTTTGAATTAAATTCTAGTTGAATCATGCAATCTACCATTCGATTATTTTAGGATCGACTTATTTCAGTCGTTGTTATTGATCCACCATTCACTGAAACATGTTTCTACGTTACAGATACAAAATTTATTCCAAATGTCCTCCATATTGCTCAAGTAAAAGATCAGTAGTGTGAAATAATTTTGAATTTCTATTGAATTGAACTTCATAGGATGAAACTGTTGCATGGTTATGGAATACGGCACCACATGACATTCAAGTACAGCCGATTGACGACATACACAATCAAATTAATGTGATACAGATAAAACGTTTGTCGTTTTGATTTGTTTAATTTTATTTTTATTTCGTTTTTCTAGCGCAAACTGCCTGATCGATCTTTTGACGAATTTCAAATAAATTATTTATACACATTTCATGACTGTGGCACATATCAGATAAAATCAAATAAATTTCAAGAATCAGCAACAGTTTTTGTATATTCGGAGAGTGCTATTAAGAACTACAGTAAGTATAATGAATATTTTTTAGCCAAAAATGTATATGAACAAATGATTTGTTTTTTTCTTCAGAAAAACGTTTGCAAGAACCAAAGGTTGTTGGAGAACTTCCGGGTGCTAGCCAACATGGTGATGAAGTTCGATTAGAATGTCCAAATCGTAGCGCAACAATATATTATACGCTCAATGGTTCCATTCCAACAATACAAAATAATAACGTTATGGTATAAAATACTAGTTCAGTAAACACAAATTTTTTGTTTACTATTATTTCTGCATTTTAGATGTACAACAATGCTACACATATTTTATTAGAAGAGGGTGGGCTACATATTATTAGAGCTTATGCAATTGAAGACCAAAAATTAGCTAGTACCGTAATGACAACAAGGTAATTAAAAAAAAATAAATGAAAATATATTTTGATTTATATATCTTCAACATTTTAGTCCTACATTTGTGATGGAAAATGAACAACTTAATGTGCGTATTTCACTATTGTTTCAGAGATTTTGATAGAGAAATTTATTTTCTATTTGTAGCATGCAAAAACAATATGGAATAATTGTAAAATAAGTTTAACAGCTTCGTTAGCATTGCCAAATAAAGTCTATGGAGAAATTCATATTGAACCAGAAGTGTGTGATTTAATTGATCATTATGAAGTATGTTTTGATATATATTTTTCGAATCCATTTCAATGAATTTCTTTAGCTTTATGTGGACGATGTGGCCCAGAAAATTGATTTGAATCCACATGAATTAAATTTCTCTGCTGAGGGATTTGCAGGAGGTGAACAATACGAAATTCACATTGTTGCATATCCAAAAGGTGAATTAGCGAATGAGCAACCGATTGTATCCAATAAACGCGTACGTTTTTCTACAAAAAGAAATGTTTGATCATATACTGTAAAATTTTTATTTATTTTTAAAGGGATTTGAAATTAAAAGAGAAATCAATGGTGGAGCTCCGTTAATCAGTTTAGGTAATATTGTAGCTATGTTTAGTTTCAATTTTGAATATTATAAGAGAAACGCGAAACTGATTTACTTATATTTATATCGATTTGCCAATAAATGAACTTAAAAATAAAAAGTTTTGTATAAGTTTCAATTCATATAAGGAATTTAGTAATGGATATTTGTTGAGGACTTACGTATAAGAGCGCCGGTTACCATTATTAGTTGTTAGAAAACTCTACGATAGGAAGATATTCAAGAGGAATGAATCTAAATTCTTTTTGTTTTCATAGCTGTGTCTGATCAACCGAGTACAATATTTTTAATGTGGGCCCATATTGGTGATCATGCAAGTGAATATACAGTTTATGTAGATGATATTGCTACAAAACAAGTAAGAAAAAAACTTTTATGATGAATGGTCACTGTATGATGTATAAAATATTGATTATAGCTTGTTGAAAAAGATTTTAATGATTTTTTTGGAATACAATTTCTTGGAGCAGGTCAAAAAAAGAAATATATATTACATGTTGAGGCGAAAATTAGAGGTAAATAGTGCTGAAATCAATGTGAGAAAAAATATTACTATTGTTGTTGTTGTTATTATTATTGTTTTAACGTAGATAGTAACCAAATTTTGAAATCAAATATCATTACAGTAAATCCTCCATTAGAGATGTCATTGAGAGAACAAATAACAGATCGTTATTTTGCATATATTAGTGTTAATGCAGAAAAACCACCGCCGGATATGCATTTAGAAAGTAAGTAATACTATTATTTAAAAGAGATAATAATGTTAAATAACTACCGTATGTTTTTGTTGCTTATCTAATTTGTCTTCCATGTGTTTGTCTTTTAAATTTTGCTTCTCTAAATAATTATTTTATCATATAATTTGGAAAATTTGACAATAATGCTTGTGCTGACATAAAAGGCTGCAGTAATCTGCGTATTATACCTAATAATCTTAAAATCAAAAACAAATTAGCTGTAGTTTTTAGGCTACTTACAGTTTTTCTTTTGAGATTAATTTTTTGTCTCTGTTCATTTTTTTAGACAGGTGCGATTTACTATCACCTGCCTCAAAACAAGAAAATCGAATTACTGCAGTCTCTTATCCGCCAAGCACAAATATTATTCATCAAAATAATATTAGTATTAGTAGTAGTAACATTGTTAATCCTTCCACATCACAAAATACTAATAATGATAATAAAAAGATGGAAACATTTTCAGAACAAACAAAAGATCGAGCTAAAATTTTATTTGAAAAATTAACAACCGCCATTATTGAACGAAAGAATAGTCATAGAAATAATTATACGGAAATAACTATGTCTGATAAATCCAATGAAACAAAAAATGTTTACTCATCTAAGTGTAGATGTCTACCGCATGAATCATTTCCCGGTGTTGAACACTACAAACATTCATCCAATAAATTAAAACATAATCAACAAGATCATCGACAATATTCTCCGGTAAAAAAAGATTTAGAACAAACTGAACCATTAAGTTATTCTAAACCAGTACATAATCAACAAAGATTTTCATTTTCAAATCAACGACGTGAATCACAAACAGCGTCGAATAATGAATATACAAAGAGACTAAAACAGCATAATAAAGATGATACAACACGAGAAGATCCTTTCACTGATAAACGTCCTCCTATACCTCAACATCATTCAACTGTTGAAACAAATGTTGATGATTATTTTAATGATGCAGCATAACATCTTATCAATTTTTTACATAACAAAATGTCTAACTTTTGAACTAGAATATGTAATTATTGGAACTTTAAACCATAATTATAGAGAATAATAGTCGACGTTAATCTCACTTAAACAATGATGTCTCACTTAAACAATGATGTAGTTTTAATATTGCAACACAGGTGCTTTCTACTGTTTTTCACTACTTTTATACATCTGGTTTGGCTTTCTTCACCTTTAGTGTGCTATTTAGTTTCATGTTAATGTCTTCATGCTCATATTAATGATAAAAAACATTTTTCATGTTTTTGCATGCGTTCGTAGATAAAATAAAAACTTAAAATAGAATATGTTGGATAGCTGTTCAAATGAACTGGGAGTGTTTCAGACGAAAAAAGAAGTATTTTCGACGTGTGAAAACGTATGTTTTATGTCATTTTTATGCATTTTCAGTTTCTGAATATCTAATAAGTTTCATCTGTATGATTATCATAATTTTTAAAACTTCGAAAGAGAACTAAACAGAATATTTTTGTGTTATAAAAACACTGCTTTATTTGATTCCACGTCAGTATGACAAATATAACTGTTGATAATAAAAGTCTACATTATATTTCAGTCATTAATTTGGAACGTTTTCCATTCAGAAGAGAAGCAAAACGAACAATTAAAAGTTTACCCATTGTAAGTATAAAATTTATTCATATAACATAAATACAGTTGGTTAGAGCCATCTCCATTATAGAACAATATTCTTCGACATATTGTACCAACTATATCATTCAAACGTAATCATAATGGGATTACATTATATTGGACAAAAAAAATACAATCAGCACAAGATTCTATTGAATATTATCGAGTGTGTTTCCAATAGCTAAATAATCAGCTATCATTTGTAATATTTTTATGATATTTAGATTATGGTTGATAACAAAGAATATGGTCCTCGAATTTCACCATATGATGAAACGAAATTTCAAGTTAATCTTGAACCTGGAAAACATGACTGTTATGTTGCCGTTGTACCAAAAGATGAGACACAAGATACTTTGAAAACAAATGTTCTTGTATGTAAAGTACTAAAAAGTTTCTTTCAAAAAGGATAATATAAAATTCTGTTAATTTTTTAGAAAATCGATGGACCACGCGAAGTAAAGGATAGTAAACAAAAGAAAACTTCTTCATTTATTCCAATACAGGTAGGTAATATAATTTTATTTAACAATATTTATTAACATAACAGCTAATTTATGTAGAATGCTTTGCCACAACAAGATATTCCAATACCAAAATTAAGTTTACAAACCATTAGTTCATCAGCGATAAGAACCAACTGGTATTTAGATCGTCCACTTCCGCAAGATGCCTATATAGCCATGTATGAATTGCATGTGCGTGGAATGGATTTTCCAGAAAAAATGAAAAGTGATGAAAGGTATGCAAAAAAAGTCATCTATTTGATAAAACTCAAAAAATCTACTTATAATTTTTTTTTTTGAAAAATATAGTTTCGAAAATAATGGAATAACTGAACATGTGTGGTATATCAGCAAACCTCCTCTAGAAATCGAGGGTATCTCGGAACGAATTGATTATACGTAAGTCTTAATAGTAAAAACAGTTTAAAATTATAGTAAAAGTATTTCATATACATATTTAGGGTATTTGTTCGTGGTTTTTTTCATATGCATGGAGTTACTGATATAAAATATGCGTCATCAACATCAGCTGAATTGAGTACATCACGATATAATCCATTGGCTGAACTACTTATTCGTCCATTACTTAAAGTTGCTCGAGTTGGAAATCAAAGTGCAAGTTACAGATAAATTATCTGTCATGACTTTCATCAATAATTATCTTTCCTGTATTTTAGGCTTCTGTTGTATGGTCTATAGATCAATCGGTTGATGAATCATTAATTAAAGGTTATCGTTTAATTGTTAATGGAAAACCCGCTGAAATTTTGGCACCAACTCAACATGAATATGAATTTAGCAATATATCACCTGGTACGTCATATTTACTTCTATATGGCATAAGATATAAACGTTTATTTACTCTTTTAATAGGTAGTACGAATGAAATTCAAGTATCTGTTACATCGCATCCGGATTGGGTTGATGAAAAAATATCTGAACCCGTACGCATCTTTTGTCCAAAGAAACCTTCACAGGCTAAAATAACCGCTCAACAGTCAACAAAGCCGTTTGGTATTGCTATCAAATGGCAAACAGTACAAACAGAAAATGATGATATAGTTTCATATAAGTACGTACACACTCAGTACTCTTCTGTGTGTTATAGTCTACGAATATCTATTTCCATTTAACAGAATTTTTCTTGATGGTAAAGAACGAGAAGAACTACCAACAAATGGACGTACATCATTCAAATATGAAATCAACGATTTAAAACCTGATCAAACATATTCGGTTTATATAAAGGTATAATTATTCGAATTTATTCACTGTAAAAAAAATTTCATTCTCAATTTTTATAGGCTGTTATTGGTCACAAAAAGTTAGATGGTTATGTATATCAATGTCAAATAGAGAGTCTACCATCAAATGAATTGTCACTGAAATGTTCAGCTCCACCTAAAATTCCTCCACCACGATTGGAAAGAATGTCTCCTAATGGCGTCGATATTGTCTGGGATACGCCTGTTGAATATGGTGACGCTAAATTAACAGTAATCTGCAATTGATTACATATTAATCATCATTCTACATTAATTGTGTATTTATTTATAGGGCTATCAAATACTGAAAAACGGCAAAGCTATTGGCAAACAATTACCGATAGAAAAAAATCGCGCATCTATAACAGATTTAGAAGTCGGTAATCGTTATTCTTTACAGGTTGTACCGTTGACTGATCATCCAAGCGGAAATGCTTTTCGAATTGGAGAAGGTATGAGCTCGAACTGTTTCTTAGTTTAGAATCTAAATCTGAGGAATAAATTATATATTTATTTTAAGAATATGATCCAGAGAGACATTTTTCAGTCGGACCGAAATTGGATATTGAATACACAGATTTAGTTGAAATTCCGAAAAAAATTTGGATTGAAAATATAACGGGACACGGAGCTGTTGTATGTTGGACGCCGTGTAAGTAAATAATATACTCTATTCATCTATTAACATTTTTGACGGCTTTTGGTTTTCCATTAGTAAGCAGTTCATTAAGTAGTAATGTAATACCAGATCACTATAAATTGTATTATTGGCTACAAAATGAAACTCGCAATGAAGCAACCATGTTACAAGTGTCTAGTAAGTGCCTTTTAAGTTACAAGTATAAAGTATTTATAAATCGAATTATGGTTTCAGAAGATGTAAAATCAAAAGAATTAAATGAACTCAAATCATCAACTGGATACAAAATTCTTTTAGAAGGTTGGAAAAGACGTCGTCATAATACAACAAATGGTACAGAATTTGATTTAAATTGCATAATCAGTCTCTATTGCTGTACACTTTTCTTTTGTAGATCAATATGTTGTTGTCACCTCATCAGATCCAATAACGTTTCATACCGGTTCTCCACCAGATCCTCCAACTTCTTTTCAAGTCATTGCCTGTACAAACAATGCAGCTCGCATTTCTTGGGATCCATTTTTAGAACATAACGCCGAAATCGTTGGTAAGAGAAAAAAAGATCACATTAAAAAACATTTTACTATCTCTTCTTTGTATTTTTTTAGCTCTTCGAATGGATTGTATCGTTGTTGATGAAACATCACAAGATAATCGACATTTGACACTTGAATTGACACCGGATTCAACTGAAGTTATTTTACCAAATTTAGCTGAACGTACTTCATATAAAGTAACAGTGACAGCCGTAACAGATGAGTATCTATTTGAAAATAAAATTCGAGATATATCACAATTATCAAAAAAATTAAAATCGGACAAATGGTTACCAAATAAGAGTTTAAATTTGACAACAGGTGGTGCTGAACCAGCAACAAATTTACAATTTAAGATTCGTAATGCCGATTCAATACAGATAGACTGGACTTTACCGAAAGCTTACGGTTCAACACGCCTTGTGGGCCAGTGCGTTCGATGGATGCTAGAAAACAGTGATGAACACACCTTAGATGTCGATCCATTAACTACATCAGCCGTCATTAGTGGAGTATTACCTTCAGGTTTTTATACGGTAAATCTAGACTCAATATTTAGTATAAAAGTTAATTTGGAATCGGATGACAATAATGACAGTGGAAGAAAAGAAGTACGATATTCAACAAGCGAATCCAGCACGCTCCATTTTCGAACACCAGCTATGTGTGAAAAACCCGAACTATATTTAACGGGTTACAGTACGAAAACAATTGATTTAACATGGAATAAACCGAATATGTTTACTATTATCGATCATCCAGAAAAGATAAATGAACAAGTTAAATTACATCGTCGTTTATTAGGATACCGAGTTGATGTCAATGGAGAAGAAAAGCGTGCACTCGATGATGATCAATATCAATGTACGCTGACAGAATGCCTACCAAATGAGGAATATAAAATTCAATTATATGCCAAAACTACACTACAAACAGAATATCTAAATGACAAAGTAATTCGTTCATAATTGATATTACAACAATTTTCCATTCTGATAAAATCCTGTCGAAATTCAGGCATATCTTGTGAGATAGATGATACACCGATAGGATTCTTTAGGAAAAAAATTGTTGAGTTCTGTCGATATTCCGCACTTTACTTAATCACCATTTTATTCTGCCATAGAGCATACATATACGAATAAAAGAGTTGAAAGGAAGTTTCATTTCCTTTCAATTAGGTTAGATTTGAAATACGACTTGATAGGCTGGCAAGTCTGCTCCTCTCGTATAGGAGTAAGGCTGCTGAATTATTAGTTTGAATTTACAGTTGTTCGTGCCTTATAAGTGCTCTCTATAGAGATGAGAGAGCGATAATCATTTTGAAAAATCCAAAGAATAAAAAATGATATTGTTTTAGCCTAAAGGATTAAAGCGATAAAATAATTATATTGACTTTTGTTTTTCTTTTAGTTATCATCGAAAAATAATAGTGCAACTGATAATGAAGCAGATGAAACACCATCCAAAAAACTTCGAGTTCGTGTATTAAGTGAAAAAGGTAAATTTTCAATATTTTGCCTACTCAACGTTCATATCTTTTTCTTTTTCATAAGATGTTTTAAAATCCGTACATGCCAGTTTTGAATTTCATCATTATGTTACCAATGAGAATACTAGTGAAGAAAAAAATGAGATAAAACCATTGGGAAAAATACATATACGATGGAGTGTCACAGATACAAAAAATATATCACATTTTATTTTACAATGGCGTTCATCAAAGGATTTACGCACTCAGCAATTAACATTAGGTAGCACTGAAAAAGAACATGTATTAGATTCGTGTGATGAAAAACATTTCTATAGTATTGATTTGATTATTGTTATGAATGATGGCACACGAAAACAATATGATCAATTAACAATGCCTATTCCAGGAGCACCAGATTCACCAAAGTTATGGTTAGTAAAAACAACTGATAATAACTTCATTATTGAATGGTCAGAGCCAAAATCGTATGGTATACCGGTTATTGGGTTCCAATTGTTTATCGAAGGAAAAAAAGTGGGTGACATCATTGAAGTTAATCTAAGACGAGCTGAAATTCCATCACGTATCAACCGTACATACCAAGTTAATGTATGTGCCGTGACAGATAATCCAGAACGAGCTTTATCTGCTCTGTCTCGAACTCTCTCTGTTATTACCACACCTACAACAAATTTAATGCCAACGGTTTATTATGATAATGATGATAACGGTGGATTTGATAAAACAATTGCACGCATTATTCCCGTACAAATTGATTCAATCAATGAGGAAAAGTTACATATTGATTGGTCATCATTTCTATCATCAAAAGTTGTTCAAGCATACTACATACAATATACATGTTTGAATAATGGTGATGTACAGGCAATTAAAGTGTCAAAACGACATCGACACACAGTAAGCGTCAAATTTTGATTTATTTGAATATTTTATTTTGAATATCTGTTATAGGTCTTGAAAGATTTAAGACCTGGCTTTACTTATGGGATTATGGTAATGGCTGTTGATAAAAATGGTGGTGTTCTCTATACGTCAGATAAAACAACAATTCAAATGTCGGCACCACCAAATGCTCCTTGGGTAACTATTCGGTAAGTAAATTTCTGTAGTTGCGTGTGTATAATTATTCTCAATGTCCCGAACGTGAATTAAATTTATCTAGTGACCGAGCAAGTGATCATGTTACAATCGAATGGAAACCGGCTACCAGTTACGGTGACCTGGCAGTGGTTGGCTATAAAATATTTATTAATAATCGATTAGCGGCTATACTTTCACACGATCAATTAACTTACACGTTATCAAATGGTACGCCGTGTGAAACCTATACAGTTCATGTACAAGCATTAAGCAACGATAAAACTATTACAAGTCCAATGTCACGAAGTTTAGAGTTTACATGGCCCGGAATAAGACCAGGAGTCATGCGACGAATAGATGATGGTCAGGGGGGCCCAGTGATAATGGTCTGGGATGATCCAAAATTAGAAGAAAATGACAATTTAGTTGCTTTTAAGGTAGGAAAGAAATGAAAAGTACTTAGACTGTAAAGATTATTCCCTCTGCAAAAATTTTCTGATGAATCGCTGCAGTCTGTGTTTATTTTAGCTAGATTATCTCTAAACTAGCTCCACAGTATGACTGAACGATTTTCCAATAGTTTATGTCTGCCCTCTTCTATACTTAGACTATAGCATTGTTCTGTTTATTAGGTGTTTTCTGAAAATGCAGCCACTCATGAAATTCGAATGCACGGTGATCTGGATGCTTCAACCCGTCAAGTACAAATTCATGATTTACCCAATGGAAAATATCGTATATGGCTTGAAATACAAAGTTCTCAATATTGTGTTCGTGCGAGACCACTATCGGTATTAATCGGCAGACCGAGCTCTATGCGACATCGTCGTTCATCATATGATACAGCCAAATGCTTTATGAAAAAACATAAACGGTACGTGGTTTTCGATACAGAACTCCTCTTTAGCGATGACCGATGTAAAAATTTCATGCCTCGAATGCATTTAGCATTGCTGGCAGATGCATTTGGACGCATCTGGGATGAAGCATCTGAAATGAAACTTTTTCAACCAGATATGTTTCGATGCGTCCAGATGCTTCATTCTAGATCAAACACAAATGTTCACATGGGGAATATCAAAACAGTTCTCGTTGTGACAGATTTAGTATCATGAGATGCATAATGTAAACAGTGATGACAGCAAAGACAGAATAAAAACGCTTTGCGGCTACCATTGCCGTCGGCGAGTTTTTCTACCTAATTCCTTAAGCTCTCCATACACACTTAATAACCATTCTAGCAAGCCAGTAAACCATGTCCTACGTCACACTGTAGTGACTAAATATTAGGTGAGTGATTCCACACGCATTAGTGCATAAAGAAGAAGATATAGCCTGTCTTACGGCTATCTGTACGGTATAGTGTACCTTTGAAGTACGCGAAAAGCATAGACTTAACACTAATATTTCGATTACTGGAAAATAAAAAACTCAGTTTTATCTCATGTCTGTGATGTTTTACTTTACTGTTTGATGACGCTCTTCTTATAGAATTATTAACCTATTATTTAAATAAAACTAAAATGACTTTAAATTTAACCCACTTCATTCATTTCTAGAGTTCGACCATCAGCTCAAAGCGTAACCACTCCTGCTGCTACAAAATAAACACGTGATTAACATTAGTGATTTATTTAGCTCAAGAATAAAACCTGATATTTTTGGTGATAAACATAACGCTTCCATCTGCGATCATATGAACGTCTTTTTCTGATTGAGAAATTAATTGTCATATTTTTTTATTTACATATGTAAATTATTTTCAGACTAATTAATTGTCTTTTGACACTTTTGTTGATTGGATACATGTTGTATTTATATTAAGTTCTTTAAAAGAGCTTTTTATACACGAATTCTCACAGCTTACATTCACAAGTTATTCTTCACTTACATGCTTAAACAACAATATATATGTTATACTCCGTCCATTGCTTTTATTGTTATTTGTTCGTGAAAGATTTTTTCTGGTTACGATGACACTTCCATAACTTAATTTTGCCGTCTTTCCATACTATAGCGCATTTTTTTTCTTATAATCGTAGGCTTTTTGTGCGTGCATGTTTTGTTTAAAAGAAATGAAAATGTTTCAATTTTTGACAAAAAGAAATTTGAAAGAACACCTTCAACAACCATTCATCATCGTTCATTCTTCCCTATGATATTCATCCAAGTACTCCCATTTCTTTCTTTAGATTCAATTAAAAGTATTAGACATATTGAAGTTAGATATTCGATGAGCTGAATCTATGTTTTTTGAAAAAAGAACAAAATAACTCAACATGTTTAGCAATATTAGAAAGAATCGCAAAAAAAACTAATGCTATAATAAAATTGTACAAATAATATGTTTTATATAGAAAGTATCGAGTGAATTCAAGACAAAGAAGATTCAAAACCTGAAAAAATGTTTGATAGATCAAAAACAAGATATAACCGACATTTTCTTGAAACTATTCTAACAAATTTTATTTTTTAAATTATAAACTCTTATTTCTGCTCTTCCACTCGAGATGGTAAACTAAACCAGTCAAACGTGACATATTTAAGGATGATTTCCAAATAATATAAAAGAGACCGTACTCGTATTTGCACGATGTCAAGACTATTTCATCTGTACCGTACTCTGTAGTTCAATAAAAGTTTTAAAAATTAACAGAAAGTCCTCTGGTTTTTGAAAGGTTTTCTAGAAAGCTTTTGAAGTAAGTGAACACATTCTTTTTACTTTTTTTACTCTCTCATGAACAGAATCAGATTGTACAGATAAAACAGAGGAGTGAATCTTGACATTCTAGAAAAGTCTGGATCGATCTTTTTTGACTAAATTAGCATTTTTTTAATTTTCAGTGAAAATAGCCTGACATGGATTATTTTAGCGTAGTATAGGCTTTTACAAGATTCAGCATGATCCATAATCTATGCTTCCACTCATTTTTGAGGTTATCAAAAACCATCGAAAACCAATCTTGAAGCTTCTAAAAAACCCCATGCCACGCCTGAACGGTGAAAAATGAAAAAGTCGACAGATGAGAATCTACTGTTATGAAACAAAAACAGTAGATTTGTATTTCATCTTTTTAGACTACGACCTGGTTTTCCAAAGATCATGTAGAAAACCTACTTCAGCTAAAAGCCTTCTAAGGTAATTTTTTCTTATTTAAAGATGTTCCCAAGTCTCCTCTTTCAAACAGCGAAAATCGGCGCTCTCTAGCTACTCTCTGTACAAAGTTATTCAAAAAATGACCGAGTCCATTGGGCTTTTTACCGACAATAAAGAAATCGATAGCAATACGAAGTTAGATAAATATTTTTCCTTCGTAATAGACTTTGAAGATTTATTTCTAAACGTTTTAATTGACTAGCTCCATCTTCATCAGCGGGTGTACAAACCATTAGTAAATTAAATTACAAAAATAAACAAAATTTCTCTTATTTACAGAGATTTTTTGTGTATACAATAGATGATAAAAACTGTTTCTGAAGATTGAGCTAGTCTAATTTAGATAGTTTTAAGAAGACAAAATATTTTGAATCTGTTTACGTGTTTTGCTGGTCTTCTAGTCGATCAGTTAAAAATTTTATAGAACTTTTTGTCAATCAGCATCTTTGATTAATTCAAAATTTATTTACAGTTTATTATTTCAATAAATAATGCTCTACTGTTTTATTGTATTATATATTTGTGAGCTTGAGAATAAATATTGAATTTCCTGAAGTTGCATCAGATTATTATTTTCTTTTTCATATGAAACTATGACATGTGATTATTCGTGAATATTTACTTCGTTGCAGAGGTGAACAAATAGAAAGAGAATGAAAATACTGTACAATATGTATAGTATGACATATTCTATTTTCTTCTATTTGGATTGTCTGGAATAATAAAAGATCAACGATATCGGAAGTTAGTTCATATTCCATATTGTTATCCTGTTGTGATAATAATATAATAAGTAGAGTAATCAAAATCAGACAAGGTGATCGCCCTTGAATTATTCTTAAATGGCATCTTATTTTTGACATTTTGTATTTTAACTTTTTGTCTATCATTCAAAGATGTGAAAATTATGAAAAGATGATTTGGCCATTTATTATTATTGTTGTATATAAACAAAACGTAAGGTATACGGCTTGGTCGGCTAACTGTGCTACCGATGTGAAATTCTGTATCGAATTTTGTGCATTTTGTTTCTCTTATAATTTTCGAATGACAAGATGCCCAGAGCTCTGGAACGTCTCAGATTAAAGACAAAAGTGTGCTAGAGATTTTGAGAGCTCTAGGCATCTCGTCGTTCGAAAATTATAAGAGAAACCGAAATACAAAAAAATCGTTACGAAATTTCACTCCAGTAGCAAAGTTATATCTCAGCTATAACTGGCCAAGCCGCATAACAATAAGAAAAGCTATTTTCACATCATCTAATACTCTCTCTCCCTTGTTTGCATAGTTTTGTTTTTGTCGATGATTCATTTTTCATGTTCTGTTCTTATTTCCCTATATATATGCACAATGATAAAAAAAGATTGTTATTTCTCTCTTTCATTGAGTTTAAATTGAAAGGATAAGTCTATAGGTTTATCTCGCCGTCATTTTCTGGTTTGTCGTTCTATATTATATTAATGAAGAAAGAAAAAGAATAGAAAAGAAAAAAAAAAAATCCTTTTTCAATGAAAAATAGGAACTTGGCTGAAAAGCACAAGTTTCCGTCTGAAATGAAAATTTCTTGAATACAGATTTTGGCCCCAACTCTTTCATCATTATTATTCAATTGAGAATAATCGATGTCTCGTCCGTTATTTGGTAAAACATCTTGTGCAAGTGACAGTTAAAGTAACAGATCGTAATTAATAACAACGTGTATTTTTGGTAAATAACATGGATAAAGATTATTTTACTGTTGTAGCGCGGGAGTGCAATGATCTTTTACGGACAAATGCAAGTTTCTCAACTATGAAAATATTAAAAATACGTGACGCTTTAAAAGCGGGTTGTGTATCTACGCGAGTTTTTCCTAAACGACTCAAGTTCCCTACGCGACGTGACGAAATCATATTTAAGCGTATTAAATCAAATTTACCGCCACTAAGCTGCTATCTCTATCGGCGCAAATGTGTTAATTCGCCTAAATGTAGTTGCAGATATGATAGGGAAGACATTCACCACTATTTTCTTCACGGTAGATTGTATAATGTTGAAAGATATCATATAGGTCAGGAAGGTACTATACATTCATTAAACAACAGAATTTTATCCTTTTATCCTTAAAGTTTATTACAGTGAAACAACAGCCACTCAGAGTCATAGAAGTATAAATGAGTGAGAATTTTATGATCAAATTATTGGTTTAACTGTTCAATTATTGTTCAACTATTATTTAACTGTTAATTATTGTCTTTAACTTTGTTCGATAAACTTCAATCGTTTTTGTTTTCTTCCGTTATCTTCCAATGGTGCCTCTGCGTCCTATCTAGTTCAACATCTGCTACTATATCTAGTTTATTTTCTAGATTAGTTATTATTTTTACAATCAATGACAACATTACACAAAATTTTATTTTATGATTCCAAAAGCTACGATGAAACAACGTTCAAAAAAGCGAATGAAATATTACATGGAAAAGATAAATTACATTTGACATTTTTGAAAAGTAAATTAACTGAAGAAACAGTGAGTGAAGCAAGCGGCTTCGATGGAATATGTGTATTTGTTAATGATACACTCCATCAAACAGTGTTAAATGAATTAAACAAATTAAATGTAAAAATCATTGCATTAAGAAGTGCTGGTTTTAATAATGTTCATTTGGAGACTGCTGAAAAACATGGCATTAGAGTTGTTCGTGTTCCACGATATTCACCATATGCAGTGGCCGAACATTCAATTGCACTATTATTAGCATTAAATCGAAATATGCACAAAGCATTTCATCGAACAAAAGAACATAATTTTTCACTTGATGGCTTAGTCGGAGTTGATTTATTTGGAAAAACTGTTGGTATTATTGGTACAGGTAAATGCTTTTTTCTTTCTTTACAAAAAATTTCTTAATTTATCTTCATTGTAGGTGGTATTGGTTGTATAGCAATCAATATTTTCCTTGGATTTGGTTGCAAAGTATTAGCACATGATATAGTGCCTAATTTGAAATACGCAGCAGAAAAAGGTTTCGAATATAAATCACTAGATGAATTATTACACGAAAGTGATATTGGTAAGTTGACTTGATAGGTCCATGTAATTTGTTGATAAAGTATTCATTTCTGTTTGACAGTATCTCTATATGCTCCACTTCTTGATTCAACGTATCATTTAATTAACAAAGAAGCATTCGACAAGATGAAAAAAGGTGCAATGCTAATTAATACATCACGTGGTGGATTAGTTGATTCAAAAGCATTAGTTGATTGTCTAAAATCAGGAAAATTACGTGGCGCAGCGTTGGATGTTTATGAATTTGAAACAAATTATTTTTTTAACGATTATTCACAAAGAGTTATGGAAGATGATACATTGGCACGTTTAATATCGATGCCAAATGTTTTATTAACAAGTCATCAAGCATTTCTCACCGAAGAAGCATTGACCAATATTGCAGAAACAACGATAAAAAATTTCTTGGATTTTTTTGAAGGAAAAGAATTACAAAATGAAGTTATATCACCATGAACAAAGTTGGATATAGAAATTTAACTAATAAATGTATTCTTTTTTAATCAGAATTATATGTTAAGATGATGTGCAGACTAAGCCAAGTTTCTCAAAATTTTATGACGAGGTTTTCTGATGTTTCCAGGATATTTAGATAACTTTTCTCCTAAATTTCTACAAAAATAAAATAAAATTTCTACATACTAGACTCTATACAAATCGGCTTAGTCGAATGTATAGAGTCTAGTATGTTTTTGAAGAAATTTAGTAGAAAAGTTATCCAAATATCCTAGAACCATCAGAAAACCCCATCATAAAATTTTGAGAAACTTGGCTTAGAAACATACTCTGCACATCATCTTAACATATAATTCTGATTAAAAAACAACACATTTGTTTAGTAAAAATTCATAGGCTTTTGAAGGTGTCATAATTGTTTAAAAGTTATAATTGTGTATTACATACAAGTCTCATTTACCCAACTACTTCTTGATGTTACTTTCAGAAGTTACCTAATTTCCAACCAATTCCATAGATATCTTTCTCTTAGAACCTATCGTAAAAACGACTTCCAAAAACTTGAAAAACTCACTATTTGACCTTTATTTTTATTTCATATTGTATTTATTTGAATTTTGTTGTTGTCTGAATTTACGTAAATTATTATTTTTACGCAAAACTACTTTTGAGTAAAAAAAATTCAATAAATTTCTCGTAATTTGTATTTATTGAATTTTTCTTTTCAGCTACTTAGTAGACCTATGTTGTATTTTTTTTTTTTGAATTATAAATGTATTTCCTTGATCGTTTTGAGTCGTCTATCTAATTAGACGTTACGTCTTTACAATTAAACTCAAATTTTGAGCACAAGGGTTGTTGTTGCACGGTGTTTTACCGAGATGCTGCACCGAACATGCAGAAAAATCATTTTACGGTTCGCTGCATGTCTACAGAATACTGTGCATTAAAAATGAAGTCTGCAAGATTTTTCTAGTTAATATAATGATATACAGTGGATGCCCTAATTGTTCGTATGACGATAAAAAAAATTTTCTTTGTTTGTATTTTAACAACAGAATTTACATTTCCTTATTATCGTATCAGTTAGAGACACGAGTGACCCTTTTTGAGTTAGTAATAACTAGTCTTTAATCAAAGTCCTTCAGAGATTTTCCCATACTTTTCTGAACTTGCTCATTTTTATAGAAGTCATAAAAGTTCGTACGGTCGTGATTTCTTATTTATTTCAATATTTTTTCTTTACATAAGCACATGGTTCTTAAATCATTTGAAAGAGAAAATATCTTCCTATACATTGAAGATAAAGTGTTTGGAAACAGACCTTGTTGAACGTTAAAAAATTTCCGCTAAAAAGTTTGAGAAAATCAACTTTTTCGTTTTTCGGTTTTAAAAAATTCAATTCCACGACCCCGAAGAGCATAAAATACTGTAACGATAAGTTGTATTTCGCAAAAAATGCGTTTACTTTTAGCATTTGAAGAAGCTTTTAAAAAGCCCAAGCCGACGGCATCTATTCAAACAATGGAAGTCATCATAAATTTTTACTCTAGGTGAGCTCGGACTCCTTTTGCGCCATGATAACAAAAATCACATAACATAAGGCATAACCAGAAAAAGGACTTAATTTAGTTTTTAGGTTCACTTTTTGTTAACATATAAGGGAGCCTTCTTACACCCGTATTATTAATCAGGAATCTCAGCCATACAATAAGAAGTTTAATTTAAGAACACCCGTCCTCATTCTCGACTTTCGGTGGCATCTGACTACTCATACAGGTTAAGAAGCACTCGATATTTTCAGAACCTATGTGTAACTCTTTAACCATTTTTTAAAACCGTCGCGAACTTTTCAGCTATCTGTGTACAAGAGTCTTACAGAAATCTCGCTTTTACATCGGCGCCGCTTACGATCCTCCTGAAATATCATCCGATTCCGGAGGGGGTTTAAGCGACGCCAATTGAGTGCACTAGCACAAGAAAAAGTTTTGAACAAGGAACATTGCAACGCGAAACTGACTTTTTTTGCGGACTTTCAGGAAAATGATCACAATTATATTAGAAAACATGGTCTAGAGTTGGGCGACAACTCGTTTTGTTCAGAACTTTTCATTGGTCGTTTGCGGTATACTATAATAAGTAAGAAAGAAAGAAAAAATTTTAAAAGAACATCAATCAGTTTTTAACAGAATAAAACTGCAAGCGAAGATGTATAGTGAGATGAAAGTTTTAAATCAAAAGAATGAATTGCTATAATCTTGACTTTTTAAGCAGATCAAGTACTAGTATAGGAGGAGCTACTTTTTTTAAACTTCAGCCTAGCCTGTGTAAGATTTTTTCGATCGAAGCAAAAGATCAAGCAATAACCAAGTAGTCTTTATTAGACTGGGACTTTGGAAAGTTATATAATCTTCCCAGGTAGTATATTGTATAGACATGCTAGTTGCTTTCGAAAAAAGTGCAGATAGTTTCCTATCACCACAAAGTAGGCACTTTCTCAGGACTTGAGCAAAAGTTTCTTTATCAGAAAACAAAGTAAATAAACTCCTCATACTGAATAAGGTCATTACGTGAAATGACCATTTATTCTTTATTTAATTACGTGTATAGTTGTTGTATAGGAATATTTTACTTTCTACGAACGTGGTAGAGACTTGAATGATGATATCTGCAAACTTTGAAAAATTCGATTACCACTTACAAATTGCAGTGTTTAAGACTATCCGTAGTATCAAACCAACGTTTCTATTCGTTGTTTAGATTTTTATTATCTTTTGATTGTATTGTACAATGGAAGTGTTTGTGACATGAACGGTGCTAAACAAATAAAATGGATTTTAATTCAATTAATTATATGACTACAGATAATGTGATAAATAATGTCGGTGAAACAACTGATCTGAGTTTAATGGGCCATGGCATTAAACGACTTGACAAAATACCCTTACGTAAAACTTTATTATCAGTTGATTTACATTCGAATCAAATAGAGAAAATAAGTAGTTTAACAGCATTAAACAATTTAATACATCTCGATTTATCGTCAAACAACATTCAACGTATACAGAATTTAGAATGCTTAGTTTCATTAAATACATTAAATTTGGCATCAAATAAAATATGCGTTGTTGAAGGTTTATTTTCACTAAAGTATGAATTATTCATGTGGCTAAACATACTAAAGGCGTGTGATGCATCATCTATTCTAGAAAATTAACATGGTTAAATTTATCCTACAACAATATCGAATATTTACAGGGATTTCAAGATCTATGGGGACCACAATACAATCTGTCAATATTACAAATGCATGGAAATCAAATTGAGTATGTATTCTTTTTCGAGCATCGATATGGTGAGAATGAGAAATAGAAAAATGTAAAATCATTTTTTTTCTCTATAGTTCGTTAGACGAGATAACAAAGAATCTAAGCGGTTTGAGTCATTTACACCACATTACATTTCGTGAAAATCCCGTTGAAAACTATGATGGTATTTAAGAGCCTCCATTATCTTTTACTACTCTAACTAGGGCAATGATGTATTACAGTTTACAGATTAACAATTTTCAATTGTATTCGTACGCTATTAAGTTTGGATGGAATGGATCAACATGGAAAAAAGGATTTCAATAGCCAAGGTCTGCCTGGTACGATTTTTCTTAAAAGAATACACCTTGTCTTCACCGAAAATATCATTCTCTTTTTACAGGAATTGAACAATATATGGGCTTAATGAAATCAAATTTGGAGGAGAATAGATACCGTTTGGTACGCTCTTTTCATCCATTATAGATGCAGTGAGATTTAAATCTACTTTTTTTTCTTTTCAGCAGGACGTTAATGATTCTCTGACAGAAGAATATCCTCAAATTGCTGCAGCTCTCAATATGCTTCGACATCATAAAACAAATGAATCAAGTTCAATATCGGACATTCACTCAAGTATGGATAAGGAAAATGGTTCAGTATCTGTATGCTAAAGAAAAATCTTCTCTTTAGTTAACAAGGACTCAATATAAGCTGATTTTCTCTAGATTTTGGAGGGTGATACAGTTCCACGATCAAAAACAGATAATGATGCGAATGCCAGTTTTACATCACAAACGCATCACATTTCTGCTCAACCACGTCATGCTACAAATGAAAAACTAATAGGTATGACATAGTGATGTTTTCCAACACGAAAATAGTGCTCATTTTTCCCATCTTTGTTAATAGCACTAAAGTTACTGAAAACAAATAAACCAAAAAGATAATAATATCATTTAATTGTTTAGTACGTTCACCATCTACAGATAGTGAATCGGACCATCACACAGCAAACCCACACCGTTCTAAACAGAGAATAACTATAAAAAGTACATCGCAACGACGACATCAACCAACAAGTACTCAGTCAATACTTTTTAACGAATCCACGTAAGTTATATCTTTTCACATTTTGTTTTTTATTTAGTCTTTTCTTTGTTAGCAAAAAACCATCAAGAAATCAGTATTTAACAGTAGAAGATCGAATAATTCCGTCAACATATAATCGTTCGAAAAAAAGTGATACTACGAGTCTATTTCGGATTAGTAATGGTGGCGGAGACAACAACGAACGAAATCAACGTGAACAAAACTGCGATGAATATTGTCGAAAAATAGGTTATGATGAGTCAAGAGAAATTTATATGGTAAGAAATATTTTTATGAATCTGTCTTTTTAAGATTAAAGAAAACATTTGTTTTTTTTCAATTATTGTTTGTTTCAGACAACCTTGCGAGATTTGGATTCTGAACGCGATAAACGTTGGCGTGCTGAACAAGAAATCAAACGGCTAAACGGTTTGATTAATGAATGGAAAAAACGAGGTGTAAAATGAAGCAGACAACTTTAAGAGATAAAAGATTTGAACGAATCCCATTGTTTAGCTAGTGATGGACATAATAATAAAAATATGTTACAAGAATTATCAGAAAAACACAAACAACGGTTAATGGATGAAAGCGCAAAATTTCAAGATTTAACAGAAATATTAGATAATTATAAGGTTAAAGCTGTTGATCATGCTAAATTTCTTTGAACTAACCATTTCAAATTCAATTTGTTTTAGACTCGTTTAAGAGACACGGAAAAACAATTGACATCGTACAAAGAAGCACAAGAAACAAATTTACGTTTAATAAAAACTTTAGAAAGTAGTCAGGGTCAATTAGAAAGTGAAAAAAATGAATCCCGATTTAATGAGGTAAACAAAACTCAAAATAAATTTGAACTTCAATTATTTGCTTCTTATTTTTCTTTTATTTAGAGTGAAAGAGGACGTAATCTCGAACGACGATGTGGTATTTTGCAATGTGAAAATGAAATGTTACAACAAAATTTAAAAACAATGAAAACTCAACTGAGAGATTTACAAGAAGTGTGTGCAACACGTGAAACACAACACAAGTAAAAAATAATTTCGTTCTTCGTTTGTAATATAAAATAAACAAATGACTATTATATTCTAAAGACAAGAAATTGAAAAAACACGTATTGATATGCAATCACCTGAAGTTCAACAATATTTGAAACAAGAAATTCAACGTTGTGAAGATATTCTTCGTACCGAGTCAGCACATCAACAAGAAAAGTAAATAATGACTTGTTATGTTATTTGAATAGAAATAATTTTTTTGCTTTCTATTCAGAATGCAATCACTTGCTGTAGAATACAGAAAATTGGAAGATGAATTTCGTCTTGCATTAAAAATCGAAGAAAAACGATATGAGGATGTAAGGATAAATAGGATTATTAAAGATTTCGGGATTTACAATTAAGTTTATCTAATTTTAGTTACATAATACAAATGAAGTACTGAGAAAAGAAAATGATGTACTACAAAATGCATTAAAAAGTTCAAAGCAACGAGAAGAATCAGATCGCAAAATAGAAAATGATTTAATGGCTGTAAGTGGTAATGTTATTTCGAGAAAAATATAAAATCATTTTTATTTTAAGATTTACTGTCAGCTAAATAATAGTAGGTTAAAATATAATTTTTTTTCTACTTTTAGTTAGTTCGTGAACAGAAGGAACGCTTACAAGAACGTACTGAAGTGAACGATGTTGTGATTCAACAAAATAAACATTTGACAACTAAATTTGAAAATGCTGTTAAAGAATTGAAAAAAATACGTGAACAAGTGTTAACCATGCAAAAAGTATTATTCTGCTCATCTACTTGGTGTTTTTTTAATACTCAGATATATTCATTAATATAGGATCATAGAGAAATAGAGACACGTCTTGTGGCACAAGAATCTGTTCTAAATGGTTTACGTGAAGAAAAGAAATTATGGAGTCATGAATTAGCTCAACAACGTAACATAACTCGTCTGCCTATAGTTGTATGTATTCCAATGTTTGTTGTTGTTTTTTTGTACAGGTGCATCACTAGCTCAAGATCACGGTCGTCTACATGCAACAATTCAAACATTACAGAGTGAAATAAACTTGTTAAAAATACAATTAGACAAAGAAATTGATGCTGGTAGAATAAAACACTTGATAGTTGAAGATCAAACAGATACGATAAAAAAGTTAAAAGATGTAAGATTTTCAAGAGACTGTAGCCAATCTATATCAGAAATGTTTTCTCTAGGAATTACTTGATCGAGATGATACAATTAAAAAAATATGTGAACAACAAATGGATAGACAAAAGGAACTTGAACAACAGCTGAACAATGAACAAGCACGTAATCAGGATTTGCAGGTAAACCAACTGGAAAATAATAATATTTTTTGCTTGAAATATTTCTAGTATATTTTAGGAAAAATATGCGAAAGCATGTGAAAAACGAGACGCAATAAAACACGATATGCACAATCTTCAACAACAATTGGACAAAGCAAAAGCGGATTATAAGTAATAATTTTATAAAACTTTTTAATTAACTATTACTCATTATTTTTCTGTATTTTTAGCGCTCTTAATCGAAAATGGAAAGAAAAATCAGATGTAATCACAGAATTGGATAATAAAATTCGTAAAGCATCTGAATCGTATCAAATAAATGAAAAAAAATTAATTGAAGAAAAAACAACATTAATTGAAATGAATAAGTAAGTGTTTTTTTTCTACAGTCAATTAATTTAAACGTTCGCTTTTTATTCTAAAATAGAAATCTTGAAGACAAACTTCGACAACAAGATGTCGATTTTCGTACACAATATGAATCGATTGAGCATGACCATAGACAAGCAATAAGTCAGATACAAAAGACTTATGATGAAAAATTACAGCAGACACAATTTCGAGTATGTATTGTTGTTTTGTATGAGAAAATATCATTAATAAATTACGTGGTATCTTTAAATTTTTTTGTTTCATTATTTTAGGTGATTGAAGTTGAAGAAGAAATGCGTGTATTATTACTCGAGACAGAACGTCGTAAAAAAACATTCGAAGATCGGGTTAAACAATTGAATAGTGTTATGTATGATTTTCAAAATTTTCAACAGTCACTCTAATTTTCTGATAATTATTTTCTTTTTGTATTTTTATTATAATTGTCTGATATACATAGTCTATCGAAACCGTCCATTTTGTTTTTTTATGTTGTTTTTTAACAATTCCATAACTTAAGTAATCCGTTTTACAGTCATTTTTTATATGTAATATTTTCTTTTTTTTGATGTACTTTGAGTATTATATCGCAATAATCTCCGTTCTTTCTTGTATTTGTGCAAATGTTGTTTATTTTTTATGGAAAAGTATACAGATTCTGATAAAAAATTTTAAACTTATTTGAAACAAAAATGTATTAAATATTCTCAAACTTGTGGTTGTAGTTTTTCTTGTAGATATTGCAGTAATGACATCAAAACTTTTGTATCATCATTTTGTACATCATTCACATTGTGTGGATAGAATTTTGTTGAAAAATACTTTCTTCCCATCTCAATATGCAAACTTTTCCACATTATCATGTCAAATACATGACAAACAGTCACAACAAGAACGACAACAAAAAGTCCTTTTATTAAAATAATAAAAAAACTCCATTATTCTATTTCGATATCAACTCATTTACTGTAGAGATGAAAAATAAAAAATTATCGTATTTCAATCATTATTTAACAGTTGTATATTTTATCGAATGGTCACGTGTTTGTAAACTATACTTTGATTATACAAACTAAAAGGCACAGAAATATTTGTCTATCTAGTAATTTTCTCATCTAACGGTATAGATTTACATTAGGATTAGTGTCAACCATATGTATGTAGTAGAAGGTTTAATGAATATGCAAAGTTTATCTAGCCATTTTTTGTTTTAGGAGAATTGAAGAATATCTACACCAAATACAGCACTTTCTAAACAATTGTCCCGGTAACCATAAGAATATCAAGAACAGTTTGTTTTTTCCTGTTAATACAGCGAGTTTATGGTGACGCAATTTAAATCAGCAGCAGACAATAAGAACAGTGATAAAGAGAAGGATAATGATAACGCTGGTATTAAAATAAAGACAACATCTGACGCAATAATTGAGAAGAAAAAGAAAATTATTTATCAAGCAATTACTCAAGACCCATTCATTCATTTTATTTTTTTTAATATTTTGTGATGGTAAGAAGTTCTTCTATTTAAATGCCAGGAATATACGACTGATGTTTGTTTATTGTCAGAAATGGAAAAAGTACAAGAGCACTCGTTTGTTTATTTCAGTTACAATCTTATTTGACATCCGATGATTTTCTTTTTTTGATCACATCCGGTTTAGAGTTAAATAATTTCGTCGGTATCATCCACGTGTTTATAGTTGGATTAAACCTAAATCATTTCATATTCACTAATTTTATTCAACGAAAGACAGTATACAATCACCAATGTTTGCATGCATCAGTGATAATCACTGTTTGATCACACTATTTAAGTTCAGATAGAAAAAATTAAATTCATTTATATACAATCGTTGAATAATGACATCACGACCACATAGTAATGAACGGACAATGTTTTGAATAAAACCAATATCTTTTTGATGAAAATCTAGATTAAATATTATTGATAAATAAATTCTTGGAATTCCATGAGCAGTTACATATGAAAATATACCAATAAATTCAAAAGCGTATAACTAAATAAGATTTTGATTAATTATTTTTGGCTTATAATGAACTATCAATTAAACGTATTAAGAAAATGTGAAAACACATCCTGTAGAAACAGCAATTGGTATTAATTTTGATCATTATTAAAATTCTAACAATTTTATTTCAAATATTTATGATACTAACATAGTCCTGACGTTTTCAATCTTACACGCATAGCTTAGATGCGCGATATTACTAAATAAAAGAATTTATTGCTTATACACCTTTTTTCAGACTTTTAAAGATAATCTCGGCAATTGTTTCTCTAGTAATTGTTGCTGTTCTTTTTATATATGTTTTAGGTGGTTCACAATAAACAAATGTTTTGACATATTGCTAAAGCAGCGTCTAAAATTGATTTCGACCAATATTTTAATCAACGTTAGATTCTCATGATTTATTGAAAACTAAGATTAATAACTATCAGACACCGTGTTTTTGAAATTCATGAAAAACATTCGTTTGCAAAAAACCAAAAGATACCGGCTTCTCAGCTGTAATGGAACGTACAAAATTGTTTTGTAACTAATATAAAAATATTTTTGTGTAAATTTAATTATTTTTATTATTCTGTTAAAATAGCCACTGCTAATAGTCGTAGCTACACATTCACGCTGAAATATTGTCTTTTTTTCCAATTTTTCACTTTGTACTATGGGCTTTTTTTGCTAATCATTTGTTTTCATACAAAAATGTTATTCTTACGCTATTGTGCAGTGTTGAAAAATGTAAAAAATATTAAGTACATATTGATCTCTTATATTTTCTTAACTAATTTATTTATGAACATATTTTAAAATAAAGTTCAATTTTTTTGTCTTTCTCTTTATTTGTTGGAACTTTCTTTTATCGTTAGATAAAATTTGTGCATCAAAACGATTTATGGCATAAAGATAAAAATAACACTTACCATTATCGTCATGCACACTTGTACATATTAGAGTCTCATCATTCATGATCCATTTTTTACATTTTGCTTATTAAGAGTAAAGAAGAAATATTTATATCACTGAAATGAGAATTAGATACTGGTGATTAACAAGACAACTACGTCATGTACATCTCTTAGTCTAGAGAGATCTAATTAATTAATTGAGTCATTTTTCTTTAGAATACAATCTATCCTGTATTTGCCGAAATTAATTCTATTATTATTTTATCAGGTGTCGGTCTTTTTTATGATTTTATAGTACACCTGTTATGTCAATAGATGAGTTTTTCTTTTTATGTATATCTATTGGCCAAGTATATGAATATTTGACATTTTATTTATCACAATATGTTTCAAGTTTATGAAAACAAATTCTGAAGTGGTTGAGTGATATCACGATATTTTATTCTTTGTTAAACATTCGTTGAACACATAGAATTTATTAAGAAAAAAAAAAAACGCAAAAATCACCGTCATGTCATTTCGTATTATTAACTGCTTGATCATCAAAATTAAAAGTAGAAATTTAATGCATTTACTATTCGCATGTGTATGTGTAACTTGCTGTTTCTATTTATTTTGTTTTCTACTTCAGACATTGTAATCGTTCCGCGTGATACATGTCGATTGGAAAAACGATGGTCTCTAGATGAGAAAAAAAAGAGCATTGCATTTGTCGTAAATGAAATAATAGAGAAAAGAAAAGAAAAAAGAAAATTTCGTTTTTTTATTTAAAACGTAAAATAAATGAAGCCAAGAATAATTTTGAAAAAAAATATTTGAAAAGATTCATTTTAAATTTTTTTTTTTTTTTTTTTTGTTGTGAGTTATGTTCAAAATTTCAGTAGAAAGTTCATTGAAAGTGAATACAGAATTAATGTTGGCTCTCATATTATGTATGTACAATTGAGACCAGTATATATACACTTCCCAATAGAGAATGGTTTGCTTAACGAACATAAGCGAGCAATCCTATTGAGGATGCTGATAGTTGGAGTATTAAAGTTATAAAAGATTTTATGAATCTTTGTCTCGTGACATTGAGATAGATTTTCTTAAACTTAAAGTGTATGCCTTGATTATCTTGTTCTTTTAGATTGTTCATCGATAGTTTATTTGTTGTTATAGTAGCACTAGATTGATTCTAATCCTAATTTGTGTCTTATTCATTTAATATATAAAAAATGATAATAACACTTTAAAAACACTTTAGATTACGATTTTCGTTATATACGGTTTTCGTCCAGAATTCATTGAGTGTGTTTGATATATTTGAAAATAAGAACATTTGTCTACTTCAATGAGCACTTATTGCACCGTTATGAAAGATGTTCGTGTATTCTGTCACGAATAACGGTAATAGAATTTTGAGATTAATGTTCAGTTTATATATATATTTTTCTCATCATGTGAATTATACGTTATTCTATGCATATGATCCGTTATTTTTTAACGTACGAATAGTAGAAATAAGTATCCAGGCAATCTGAATTTTTACTCTTTTTTTTCATTCTTTTACTAGAAATAGAGTTACTTGTACAGCTGTATTAGATAATTAGACACTTATTTGTTGGACACTGAGGAGCTTTCGTATATGCAAATAGTAGACTGTAAAATGTATTATGATATTGACTGTTGGTTCAAAATTATCGTGAAACCAATTAAACAAGATTGATGTAAAGATATTATTACATTCTTTTATTAAGTTACCAAATTTTCTGATCAATTAGAAACTATAGTCATTTCATTTCACTTGCGAAAATAACTTCTTTTTTTTGTCATTATTTCATTTATCTTATTCGATTTTCAACTATTTTTTTTATCCTTATTTTTTATTTAGCATTAAGAAAATTTAGACAGTTTAAAAGCAAATCAAATTACTTTTGACGATGAAAAATTCAAATGACGTATTTTTCTTTTCATCTATGTGTGTTTGTGCGTGTGACAAATTCTTCGATATAAATGTTCTCCTGTAATTCGATTTTTTCGTAAAAATACACCATTATGATCTGAACATATCCACACTTTAAAAATATGTGTTACCATAGGAAGTACTTCTATGTTAGCGTAACGTTATCTCCGCAGACAAATGTATGCGTTTTAAAATTTGTACTCGATCCATCATACTTCTACGAGTCAGAGAGATGAGAATACACTGAGTATCTTGTCTTGTAAGATTTTTTACAAAAGTATTAACAGCACATATCTAACGTGACATGTCCAATGGATTCTTTCTTGAATAAAATAAAGCTTATAAAAAAAGATTCTTTCAGAAGACGTTATTATCATCAGGATATATTTTTATTTTATAAAGTACCATTTATTTTAAAGTAATTTTTTTTCTAGTGTTCAAATGAAACGATCGTGTGACACTATATAGTCAAAGGAATATTTCTCTATCGGGGTTTTTAAAGAATAATGGTGATATAGAAATTTTTTAGTGTTACATAACAGTAAAGAGAAAAAAATAAGTTAAATTTATAGTTAATGAATTTGTACTTTTTTTTGTTATAATCAATCTTTTGAAAGATTTACCCGTAAGCTATTAACGAACGTAAGACTTTTTATTATATAATCGATCTTTTTCTTTCTCAAATAGAAACATCATTTTTTAGTATGATAGCAGACAATATGAGGTATTAAAAAATAATGTCCAAAAGTGAATTAAAAGATCCAAAACGATAGATTCTCACGGTAAAATTCTCTTGTAAATAGTTACCAGATAAACGTTTTTTTTAGTAGAATATTAATATCTATGACATCAAACTCATTTTTTTATACTATTCTTGAAGAGGAATGTTAGTGAGAAGAGATAGATTTGATAAAACGGGTTGTTTTATCCCTAAAACGACATGCAGAGACAAAGGATTGATAAATGATAGAGTAAAAGTCATAAGATGATATTTTCCCTAATAAATGTAATGTATTTGAGAATCCTTTGAAGGTTATGGCATCGATCGTCATCATTTATTACAAAAAGCTATTATGATGTCATGATTTCATGTTACTTCCACAAATCAATTCTGCAATACTTAAAAGAAAAGTAAGACGGAAAGTTGGTAATTTTAGCGAGCTTCGATATCTTGAGCCTGCACAAATAACTTTTATTAGAATAGCTACCTTTTAGTAATTATTTTGAAGAGAATTTTAAACTCATTAAGAAAGAGTTAGCCCGTAACATTGAAACAGAACTAAGATAAAATCAGAATACAAAGTGATCAAATTTTTCAGGATCGGGATTACCATCTTTAGAAGCCAAAAAAAGCAGAAAAAAACGGATAGTATTTCTTTCGCTTCCCGACACGTTTATAAGGAAAAAATCTATTAGTATATTTTCTAATTAGTTGATTCAGAAAGGGTAGTGATTTGATTCACTTTACAGACACGCTTATAGAAAATACAATTTATCAAAAGTGACTGCATTCAGTCAAGAATGGAAAAGATGGGAATCCTGTTCTGCATCATTTGTTAAATGAACTAATATTATAATTATGTACTAGAACAACTGTTCTTTTTCTCATAGAGAGCCATCGATCGATTTCAGTCATAATTTTGATCGATTATTTGTTTTTATGCATTATAGATAAAAATATCATGCATGAAATTATTCCATTGTATAGTAGTCTTCAAAAATAGATCTAATTACATGTTGTAGAGAGTTGTGCGCGTGTGTGTGTGTTTTTCTTTTCGCGGTTCCTTTGAAGGCATCTACATACACATACGGTAGTCAGGGTTTGTGCTTTTTCTTCTTTCTCCTTTTTCTTTCTTTTATGTTGATTTGAGTTTTCTTTTTTCGACAGTTAACATATTATAAGTTAACATATTCTTTAACTTCATTTTTATAGAGCTGAATTGCTTGTATGTTTAGACAATTTTCAATTTCTAATTACGATCTTTTCGTCATTGTCAAAATAGTTTTATGTATATAATGTAAACTGATTTGTATTATAAAAATAGAAATTATCAGCGAATGAAATGTCTCATTTGTGTTGTAGAAACAAAATAAGCTAAAAAAGGCGTTAATTAAAGTTTTACCTATCAAAATGATTCTCTGTTATACGTCGCTAAACAGTTGAAAATATTCCGTATGACACAATAAGAGGCCAACTGTTTTACGCAAAGGTTAAGACTCAGTGAAATAAACAACACTAACAGTTTTTCATCAGAAAAAATTCTTCTTTCTAGTCTGTGTTTTATCGATCGAGTCAACTACGTGTTCTCGATTATTCTTAATCGTACACATTTATGAAAAAGATCAGTCGGTTGTCCAATAACAGCAGATGAACGATCTGATATGATTTTTTTATTTTTATTATCTCACTTCGACCATTCGCTCGCTCTATAGGATAATCAATCGAACGGTAATATTGCAGCAAAACGATTATAACTTGTATACACAGTTCATTTACTCGCTTATGTTTAACTTCGTAGTCCTTGCCTAAACTTTGCTAGCTAGATGAACAAATAGATAGTCTACAAGCAAGTATTTGTATGTCTGATTAATTTCTGCACGTTCTTCGTCCATTAGTAGGCGGTTGCAGCTTTTTTGATTGTGCGTGTTTTAAATGTGTCTTTCATGGATTTTTAGACTTTAAATGATTTACTTGGTTATTAATTCATTTTAATCAATTGACTCTTTAATTTCTGCACAGTATAGTTAATCTTTAATTTAAATATACAGTACACGGTATTATCTTAATAGAAGAATTAATTAGAAAATTTTGGAAAATATGCTCATTTTCTGAGGCTAATTGAATTATATATGATAAAAATGAGTTCAGATCAACAACTGACGGATACCGAACCGGCATGTGTACAATCTAGTATGGATGAGAATGAGTGACTGAAAAGAAAAAAGTAGAGAGAAGAAGAAGAAAAAAAAGAGTTTATGATCAAATCTTCTTTCATTTCACTCTGTCGACTTAATGATTGCTAGCCAAAGTATTTATATTTTGATCTTTGTTTGGTTACTTATCATTCAATACTTATCACTCAATAGTATTTTATGCACGGAATGTAATTATTCTTTTTATTTGAGAAATATGTGTATACATTGTTGTTATCAATAAACTTTTTATTGAGTCATACAAAGAAAAAAAGAAAATTGTGCATCCAAAGCTGTGAAACCTTTTGTTGGATTATATTTTTCTATTATTTTAGAATAAGTTTGAACATTAATTTATTATTTTTTAGTGAAAACAAAAGTGAGTTTGAAATTGGAATGATAATGTGAAACAATTAATGAATAAGAATGGCTATTAAACGAAAAGATTTTCAAAAGACCTCATCGACCATATTAGAATTTTTATTAAAATTGCCAGATGAAGAAACGAGTGCACGTTTAAGAGATACACTACTCCACGCATTACATTTTTTACAACAGTATTATTTAGTGTTACAAAAACGTGATAAAGAACAAAAACCGTTACAATGGACAATCGAACGTGGTCTAAGTCCATTAACACCATTTCGTGAAGCACCGGATAAATTTGAATGGCAATGGATATCAGTTGATTCAAATAAAGTTAAACAGACAGTACCAAAACATTCATTAAATAATTTTCAAAATTTACCAGCAATTACGTTAGCTGTTCGAGAGGGCGATTTACGTTATGTTAAAGAACTATTAAATGAAAATATGGATTTAATTTCTAAAGTGGACTCGTTCGGTAGAGATTTATTGACTTACGCAGTACAATTTAACCAAATAAATATATTAAAATATTTATTAGAAAAACAAGCAAACGTTAATACATTGGCAAATGATGGATCAACATGTTTACATCGAGCATGTTACGGTGATGGAACACATTGTAACATTGATATCGTACGATTACTATTAGAATATAATGCTGATCATGCAATTTTAGACGTACACTTACGTTCACCATTACATTGGTCGGTATTAACAGAAAATATTGATTGTTTAAAATTATTAATTGAATATAAAGCAAATATACATGTTAAAGATGTCGATGGCATGACTCCAGCTATGTGGGCATGTCATCTTGATAGATTTGACCATTTTCAAGTAAGCAGCTGTTGTTTAAAAAAGAAAGAATGATCAGGTTATTAGTTGGATATTATCAGTCTCTTCCTAGAGTATATTAACTTTTGTTGCTTGCTGTATGTGACCAGTTTAAGATGTAATTCTTTTAGGAATTATCTCGCCATGGTGACGATGCAGAGGAAAGAGATAATGATGGCCGAACATGGATTCATTATAGCGTAAGAAAAACTGAACCGTTAGAATGTTTAAAATCTCTATTATCACCCAAAACAATGTTGTTGAGAGATACCGAAGGTCGAACTTGTTTGCATGTAAGAGTTTTGCAGTTGGTTTATCCGGATGTGTTTTTGAATGTCATTGTGTTGTATCCTTCAGGTTGCAGCTGAACAAGGCTCTGTGTTAGCATGCCGTCTAATATTCGACATGGGCGAAAAAAATTCCAATAAAACGTACATTCATGAAGTTGACAATCAGAAACAAACACCATTGCATATTGCAACTAAGAACGGTCATGCTCGTGTTCTCAAAGAACTCCTAGATCATGGAGGGGATCCTCAAGTGAGGGGTAAGTTCGTTCCTTCTTTCTTCTCTACACAATGATCATTGATTTTACATTCTTTTTACCTAGATGTTCATGGGATATCGTCGTTAGATTATGCTCTGAATCGTGGACTTTATTTTTGCCGTAGTGTATTCGAAGTTTATTTACGTGATAAACGGGGCTTAATGAATAACAGCCCACGAGATAGTCGTCCATCGACAACGCGTAGCTTTGGTAATGAAGCCTCACACGATATGTTTTCGAACGTTGCTCCATCACCACCCATAAATGGACACGCAAATTTTATACGTCGACCAACACGTGCTACAACAGATTCAGTTTCATTTTCACAAACATCTTCGCTCTCACGACCTCCATTACCAAATGGAAAAAAATCAGGCGATCTTGCAATGACTTACCCATCAGTTACATCATTCAGTCGCGATGGACAACATCAAAATCACGATGATGAAAACGATCATCCACTAATTAAACAACGACGTATACCGTCTGCAAGAAGTACAGACAGCAGTATACAGCCACCACCTCCTGTCAAACCCCGTAAAAGTTCTACACCAACCTCATTGAATGATGGTAAGCATCAACAACAGCAAAAACCAAACTATCGAAAGTACAAAGATGACACAGTCCATTCGGATGATGATGCAGATAGTTTACAAGGACAAGGAGGAAATAGCGACGAATTCTTATCGGATTATGATGATGCGAATGATAAAAGAGGTAGACGAAAGATCTTAGTGAAGAAACCACATCAGAATGGACGCTCAGATTATATTAAGAAACAACAAACGAATGACGAACTTCGTTTTCAAAATGGAAACGATGATGGTTTCGATTCACAAGATGAATACGAGCGTCCAACATCACGTTTATCTGTTCGTATTAGTGATGAAAAACCGATCACATCGCCTACATTTAACGGTGTAATCAGACGAAATAAACAGTCGAATATAAATAATAATAATTCAAACAATCGACATTCGATGTATGATGATTACCGCTTTCTAGATGAACCAGTACCGCAGCAACAAATTCGAGTATTGTCCCCTCAACCACTGAAATCATCGCCATCCAAACAACGGAAAGAATTTCCTACGCCTGTATCAAATCGAATTGGTTCTGGCGGTAATCAGAGTAACAGCGGTACGTCACATTTACAACATATAGCATCAGCCACAAATCGTTTGAAATCAGGTTCTAAATCAAGTTCAACAGAGAGTATTCCCACACTCGATTTGACGGTTGCTGGACAAAAAGTTTTTCGTACAAAAAATAACAATGAACAATATCTGGGTAACTCGTTACCATCGACAAACGCACTCAGACCACCAAGCGGTAGGTTAAAACCATTAAATACTCAGTCGAACGATAAACGTACTAATTCAAACTATAATTTCGACGATACACCACATACACTTGATGATGTAACGAATAATACATCACCCGCGAAATATGTACATAGTCCGACAAATTCTGCTCATTCATCTTCGACAAAAACTCATTTATACAAGAAAAAACTAACACCGTTAAATGGTGATATAATAAAAAAATATTCGAATACAAATCGTTTATCAAATGATAGACAACATCAGCAGTACGTTGAAGCTGAAGATATAAATTCGGACACTGAGGATATTAGTGGTCAACAACAAAAATCATCCTCGATTTCAAGTGAAACAGGATCAAAACGGTCAACTATACATGTCTATCATTGATGACGAAAACAAAAATAAGTATTCATCTTGTTCACTATTTGTCTCTTACATTATATGTCGGATGAACTGATACATGTCTAAACTTTGAGATTATGTCATTAGCAAGAATATAGTAGTAAATTTTTCATTGCCGTCCATTTTGACTATCTTCTGTTTCTGTTCTTTTATCTCAGAGAAAAAGGAATATTTGTATTTGCCTTTCACTTGAACATGAATTGTATTAGATCGCTTGCTCTTTAGTTTTGTACAATTATCGTGTAGTTAATCTCTATATTTTTTTTGTTTTATCATTACGCTGCCGTCCATTTTCCTTCAAGAAAATCATTCAGAAAAAGCCTAAATGTATCTGCTTTTTCACTTTGTATTATAGTCTCATTTTTACCTCTAATTTTCTCTTTAGAAGTCTTTTTTTGCTCGAAAAATTTTTTCGTGCTCGTTTTCGCCGTTCTTTTTTTTTTTTTTTTGAGCTACTTAATGATCAACGTGAATGAGTTATTTAATGACAAATGTGTTTTTTTTTCTTTTTTTGGTACTTTTTCCACAAGAAAAACACACAACAAACAATGTTATTTTCCCTTTTATTTATTTTGAACATGTGTGATGGGTTCACAATGTTCTCTATGGTATTTATTACCCACTGTGTGGATAGTCTACCATTTCGAATCTATAAGACAAACACTAGTCTGATCGTTAACTGAGCTGAGTGTAATATCTAGATGTGAATTATCACACTTATAAAATGTTTTTGTTATTCGTAACGTTTTCAAAGAATTTCTCTATTTTAGTGAGACCTCAAAAAGTGTTTCAAATGTTTTGAATTATCAATTATCCCATGTTCGTTCAATTACTTTTCATAGAATTCTGTGTTAAAGTTTTTACGCTTCGCTTGAAAAATGACCAGTTTTTCCTATCTCAAATTCGTTTGAGATCTGTTTTTTGTGCTATAAAAGATGTGTATATAAATTAGACTCTAATTATTTAAAATCAACTCGTATTTGAATTTATCAGTTAAAAAATGTTGAAATTAAACTGTTTTTTAAATGTTCAATATTCTCAGATAAATGTAACATTGTGATGATTTGAAATAGTACAATTAAATATTTTTTATTAATCGAACAATGACTAATCAAATGTGGAATACAAATGTGTCAATCAATGATCCTTCTCAGTTTTATACAATAGAACGTGTACCATCACCTCACACTCTAAATACTTCACAATACAATACAAATCCACAACAACATGAATTCATAGTTAATAGACAAATATTAACACCTATTAAACAATATCATTCACCACCATCAACAATTACCATAAGAAATCATAATTTAAATTCCTGTTCATCACAAGATGATATTGACTATCAAAATTCTGATCATTTAATTGAACAACGTGAAAAAAATATGCGCAAACAATGTTATCTTGCTAGTAGTGGTCCAAATCAATGGCAACCAATTGTTAATGATCCATATTTAGCAACAACAAATACTACCTATCATTTTTCAAATTATAATCCGAATGATACTAATTCAAACAATAATTTATCTTATTATGATCAAATATACCAATTAAATCAACTTCGTACACAGTATACTACTTCACCAACAAACATAAGCGAATATAAAAATGTTAATATCAATTTTTATCCACCAACTTATCATAAAAGTTCAACATCAACAACTCATTCTACTTTTAATAAACAATATCCACATTCTCGTTCGCCTAGTCCAATACGAAAAACACCGACACGAAGTTATACACCATCTGATACAATGTTAATGCCATCAGAAGTAAGTTCAAATCATTCACAGATAAAATACATTAGTTTTTCGTTCATCCATGTTATATATTAATAATTTCTTTCTTTTTTTCTTGTTGTTTATTAGACACCAATTTCATCTCAAGGTGATAATTTATCTCCAGTATCATTTACATCTCCAATACCTTCTCCTACCGTATTTACAACAACATTTCCAGGCGATTCTATTCGATCTACAGACGAAACAAAAACTGAAAATATTTTTAATGATAATTTACATTATACAATGAATGATCTTATTCAAAAACTTATACCAACAGATAATTATATTCCAGAAGTATTTTTAATTTAATTTTATATTGTATTTTTAGTTTTTCTAAATCCATTTATCACTTGTAGACATCATTCATTTATTCCATGTTTATGTGTTCAAGAATTCATATTCGTCCTAGTGTATTACTTAATCATCTAGCTGTTGCAACAATTGATTCAATAACAAATGTAACACATGTAGGAGAAAAGAGTAAAAAGTATTTATTTATTTATTTTTAATATTAATATTTTTTTATTATAGGATCAACGTGTACGAATATTACGTAATTTTTTATTTATACTTTCACAATGGACACGAACATTTCCCTATGATTATCGAAGTACTGAAATGAAAACACAATTAGAAGATTTATTACGAAAAATAAATGACTATGAAAATAGTTTACAGTCGGATACAAATTATATCTATAAAAAACTTTGCTCAAAAGTAAAAATGATGTTTTTAATATTTTTATGAAAATATATATATTTCTTGTACTCATTTTTGTGTTTTTGTTTTAGTTAGAAGCTCTTGCTCAATATAAAAATTATATTCGTCAATTGGATCATAAAGCGGCAAATAATTTGAATGAAAATGCTCTATTGGTATGTTTTTCATTTCAACTTAAGATTATCCAAAAATTGTAGCTGAGGTACTTTATTTCCGTATAGAAAGCTTGAGAAAATTTCAATCTGTTTTCAAAAGATGCGCAATTTAATTCTCTACAAAATTGATGCTGACTATATTTTGCAGTAATGAAATTCTAGAGGTCAAACATTTCGATGGAATCAAGCTCAACTACTTTCCATTGATTCTCAGAATGATTTCCCGAATTGTTTTCTGTATTACCAAAGACAAGTACTGAGAAGATCAGATATTCATTTTTCGAGAGTACATCAACAGCTCTTTCAAAGATATATAATATCTTTACCGTTTTTGTGGTAACAAGAAAGGTAAATCGTTTTAGTATAAAACATTATATTAATGATCTTTTCTAAACTATAAATGGCTTTTTCATAATGTTTTTTTCTGAAGACAGCAGTTGGAAGGGGAAAATCGCGCTATTTTTCGAAATATGACTTTTAGAAAAAATGTCATTCAACGTGTAGAAAGTAGCAATGAAAATATCTAAGTATATACAATCAGTAGATATTTTTAAGAACTATCTACTGGTGAGTCGTATTTTATGAGCCCGATATTTGTGGGGATTTCACATACGAACAATTTCAAAATTCAGTGGAAAGTGGTTGAACTTGATTCCATCGAAGTGTTTGACCTCTAGAATTTAGAATTTTTCATTACTGTAAAATATAGTCAACATCAGTTTTGTAGAGAATTAAATTGCGTATCTTTTGAAAACAGATTGAAGTTTTCTCAAGTTTTTTATACGGAAATCAAGTATCTCTGCCACTATTTTTAGATAACCCTACGTAGTTATAAAATAAAATATTTTTAGACTGATATTATGAATGAATGTCAAACACCATTATTATTTGCTCAACAACTAACACATATTGAATTGGTAAGTCCCTATATTTATTGTTAAACAAATTAATCAGAAATATACAATGTTTTCTTTTTATTTTTTGTTCATTTTTTAATTTTGTAAGGACAGGCTGAAACCAATTGGTGCCGAAGAACTTTTACTCTATTTTATAATGAAAATGGCGAATGAAGAAGCAAAAGTACATCCAAAAAAACATTTATCATCAATGAATAATACAAATATCAATATGCTTGTACACGATAAAAAACATACATTTTGTCTTGAAGCTTATATTCAATGGTTTAATCGTTTAACTTTTTTTGTCACAACAGAAGTTGTTAAACATTTAAGAAAACGATCACGAATTAGAGTTATTAATTATTTTATTGATGCTGCTTATGAATGTTTTCGATTACATAATTTCAATTCAATGATTGGTATACTTGGAGGTTTAAATATGCAACCAGTAAGACGTTTAAAACGAACGGTATAAATTAAATTTTTATTAACATACGTATTCATCTAAAATTAAATTTTTTCTATCTTTTTGTTATTGTTTTTTAGTGGGAAAAAGTACAACAAGAAAAATTTAAACAACTTGAACATTACACGGATGTTTCAAAGAACTTTTCATCATATCGTCTCATACTGAAAACAGCTGTTAAAGAAGCGGATAAAAGTAACTGGAGTGTTGATAAAGTAAGTTGAAAGTTTTTGTCTAGTTTAACATAAAAATCTTCTTAGAATTCTTCTACTCTCTCTTTCTTTCTCTATTAAAACAGATTGTTATCCCGTTTACAAGTATTTTATTACAAGATGTTTATTTCATTAAAACCCATAGTAAGGATTATACAAGTGCTGGAGGTATTAATTTGAAAAAATATTACATGATGGCTAAATTTATATCGGAAGAGTTTGTACATTGTAAGACAAGTCGTTGTTCTTTCAAACGAAATGAAGTTATCATCAATTATATTATAACTAGTCCAATATTTAATGAAGATTCACTTATGTTAGCATCATTTGAATGTGAACAAGCTGAAACACCGAATGATCGCGATAAACTTCGAACGTTAAAAACATCTGTGAATATGCAATAATTTAACATTTTTTGTTGTTTTTTTTGATTTTCTATGCAATATGATAGTCAAGAACAAATGACAAAACAAACTATCGTTTGTTGTCACTTGCTCATATAATTTTTTTTTTGTTTTTTTTGTCTTTTAATGGTGTAAAAGTAATCTTTTTTTTAACAAGAATAACCAACCACACTCGTTTGGTTTTTGATATCTTGTTTCATACTGATAAATGTGTGTTTTCTTTTACTCAGTTTGAAACGAAATTTTCTAGTTTTTATCTAACACCCGTTAAATTTGTTGCTTTTTAATAACTGGATAAATAACAAAAAAGAAAAAAAAAATCATTCCATTTTATTTCTTTTATAATTTTGTGATGTGTGTGTTTTTGCTCGTTGCATTTACATCACTCCACTGTTATTTTTTTTTATCTATCGATACTTGTATTTTGAAACGAAGTAGAAAGATAAAATATTTCGTACATGAAAAACATTTAATAAAATATTTTGTGACTGCTGAATTTGTATCTGTGTGAAATTTTTTTGTCTTTCATTAGTCCGACTTGTTCGATCTCTATCAGGATTATATGTTTTTTTTCTGTTTGTGAAATTTTTTCTTGCTAGTATTATTTAGATAAAAGTGAATGAAAACAAAGTGATAGATTTTAATGTTTTCTGTTCTTTTTTTTTGTAATTTTGTCCATATACTTAAATTCATATATGTTATATAATAATGTAACGTGTGTAAACAATAATAATAATTCTACAATAATTAAGACATCTCAAATAGTATATGGTTAGAATTCTATCTTATTCCACAGTGGGAATGTCGTGTTCGTCTACACTTCTCGTTTATGCTATTAAATATTTAATCTTCATTCTTCTAAGTCGAATTGTATACATTTTATTGTCGAAGTTCCGGGAACGAGTAAAATTGGACTCGTTTTTCAGAGGAACTCTGGAAAATCAGCTTATAGCTCCGAAGTTTTATACAGAAATCTATCAGTTTTTTTTCATATATGGATAGTCCAAGGTGTCCTGTACAAAACCAGATCCAAGTAACATCTCGAAAATCCATGATTCAGGAGCTATGGGTGTTTTTCTTGAAGCCTTAGGACTCCTTTTTTTCAAGACCCTAGTAAAGTTTCAAAACCCTAGTGAAAACGTACAATAAGATTTGAATTGTAGTTTAGAGCAGATAAAATAGAGTACATCTTGATCTAGTTGATAACTTCGTGTCGGCGTTTTTCGTATTGGACTAGGCGAACGAGAATGTGGATATTGTTTATTAAAAGTAGAATGAGTTGTTGATGTTGAACTTTTATGATAAGTTGGTGGATAAAAATTGATATTAACATTTTTATATTCGCTTATGTTTGTTGGTGAAGTAGTATACTGTGTACGAAGTTGATTTAATTGGTATATTTGATCATAATAAGATAAATCATGGGAAGAATATTCGAAGGCCTCAAGCGATACGGTAAGACCTTGGAACTTACCGAGCATGCTGTCGGGATTGTTCGTCAGTCGTTACTATCGAATCATCCCGCAGCAGTGATGTTTCGACAAACTCTCGATAGACTACATCAGAAAAAGTGATTTGTATTCGGATGAATCTCAATTATGCTCTTTGTAGCTGTATGCCTATGACAATAAATAAAAGAAAAGGTAGCGCTAAACGGCTTTACTGGTTAGATTCTTAATCATGATTCAACATTCGTTGAATACTAAATAAAGCTTATAACAACATTCGTTTAGCGTGAAACACGGCATCTTATTTAAATTATTACCACGTGGGAAGACTAAACTACGACTCTCTCAAATCTCACGCCCCTGAGTTAGAGATGTACTTTTCACTCATCATCCCATGGTCGACCATTTTGCTACCGATAGAACTTGGCATAGCATTAAAAATAAATATTATTGGGTGAACATGAAAGATGCTATACATAACTATATTCAGTCACGCCCAGAACGCTTCAAATTCAATACTCAGCAACAAAACCTCCTGGACAATAATATTGCAATCTCTGCACAGTGCCATTTTTAAAGACATAAAGTAAATAAATTTTACACGATGTAACAGGAATGCTCAAGTCGGGAACGAATGCTATATTAGATCTAAATCTTAATTCAAAATCGCCATTTTTGACACATCATAGTTGATTAAGAAAACGTTTGTCGACAGGTTCAGTTCATTGCTTTTTATATTTCTACTTTTACTTTTAATCATAATGTTCTTGTATTCACATTGTTTGTTTCAAAACCATCATTATAGTTGATCTGTTTAAACTCTACTTGAACCGATGAGATTGATTGAGATTTAAGCAGAATATCAAGTGACCTATCTAGTTTGAACTATCGGCTGAAGTCATTTTCGGTAATAATTTTGAATCTCTATTTCTATGATCAAAAGTTCATTCTAATGAACCATGAAAGTGAAGAGAGAGAATAATTTGTGTGCCCAAAATGGAATTAATAGTACTCATCAGTTTTTTTCGAGCTTTATGGTATTTCCTACAGATCAGAAAAAAATGATTTTGTGATTCATCTTCTCCACATGTGCATAATGGATCAGGAATAAGGGTGTACCTGAATAGGTCAGCATTCAATTGAGAGAATCCAATTCTTAAACGAGCAAATTGAAGTTCAGTAGATCTATCCGCACATCTATGTATACAATGTCTAATTTCACCATATACTTCAGGTTTTTTTACTATTCATAGTTAATGATAAAAAGATGTATCACATAATCCATTCCTATAACACAAATATGTGAAGAACAATTATATATATAAAGGGTATCCCATAATAACTGCGGATAAATTGTTAATAACATTTCACATACTTTTTCTTGATGAAAAATTCAGCTGTTTCTCACAAACTATTCACTATTTAATTCGCTACAAAATGGTATATAGAAGATGATCCTGAGACCACAGATGCCGTCTTAATTGAACAACAATTGACATACCCCAACAACTTCAAAAATTTAACTCGAAAATATGTATCTCGTTAGTATAAGCTTGAATATATGTGTTGTGCATACACCGAATAGGCCTAAATGTAACCCTTTGAATTCTCTATCGAATGGCTGTAATGCGAATTTTCTGTCGTTATTTCCGTGGTTTTCAGTAATGCTTTTTGCAAAAGCCCTGTGACTATTTTTTCAGCTTGTTCAACGTGCATTTTGAAGCTGTTTGTAAAATGAACAGTGCTCACTCAAAAATGAACCAGTCAAGCTTATTCTTGTGTCATTTTGAAGAGAAACCTTTTATCTATTCGATCTGAGTGCGAAATGTCTAATGTCACGTCCTTGAAAATAATCGAAACGCTGAAACCACCATTTTGTTCATTTTTGGCTGCCAATTATTAACTAAACATTTTTACCACATCGAACGGATGGGGGGGGGGAGGAATGAATCTTGCCCTAACTGATAGGGGCATCTAAAGGTGTCAGGAACGACCTGAGATCTTTTCTCTGTTACTTTGGACATGGGTTTCAAAATTACAAATCGTCATCGGAAAGCATATTATTTTTGAAAGTTTGAGGCATTTCGATTTCTGTTCAATTAAGATGGCATCTCGAGTCTCAGGATCATCTTCTATATACCATTTTGTAGAGAATTAAATGGTGAATATTTTGCAAAAAACAGCTGAATTTTTCATCAAGAAAAAGTATGTGAAATGTCATTGACAATTTATCCTCAGTTATTATGTGCGACACCCTTTATACATAACATTATATATTATTAATTATATATATATATAATTAATAAATACATTTTTCGGTTAATTACTTTGCTTGTAAAACGGGACATGCAGAAACTACGGAAATAAAAAATTGTTTGCAAAATGTAAAATGTAGGATGTATGAAAACAGCAATTTACTTTCAAAATGGGAAGCAACCGCTTTTTCAACTTATTTCTCTTGATTAATTCTTCTATTTTATTTATAATCGATCAATGGATATGAAACTATTTTAACATTTTGTCAAATAAGACAGAAAAGAGTATTGAAATATACAATTATTTTTTTACATTTTATGTTATTTTTGTACTCTTATTCATTGTATAGACGACTGAATTGATATTCATGGATCCATCGAACAAAGAACAACAGAACCTTTGTTATTATTCATTTTTATGGTTGTAGAAATGTTTTGTTAAATATTAATCAATGTGAAAGATTTTGACTGTAGTGTTAATCGTTTTTAACATATAATTAAAATGTAAAATTTTCACTTTCTCTCGAAAATGTTTTGATGGTATAGCAAAAATTCGCTTTTTTATTGATTCAAATGTCAAGACGACAATATCATTAGTAGTTAAAAATGGTTTTCTGAAGAGGCGATCATCACAGTTGGCAGTTTTCTTTCAATAAAATGAGTTTTAATCCACTGAAATACTTACATAGGGGTTTGATAATCTGGTGATATTCCCTACCTTTTGAATCTATTCATATCACCTATATAGCTCAAAAATCTATTAATTTTTTCATGTTATTAAAATTTTGGACGATAGTAATGAGAAATATTTTCACCAGATTCAATTCAAAATAATTTCAGCTATGACTGTATCAGTAGATATTCTGTTTTAGCATCAAAAGATGGAGACTTTTATGTTCTATGGAACGTAATAACTCTGATATTTACTTGATGTTTCATTATTTAAATAAGTAACAAAGAATTAGGGCAGATAAAAAGTGAAACTGTGCCGCAGAGAACCGACTGTATTTTATTTTGCTTGATTGTTCTCATTATTCACGGATGTTTCAGTTTGTTCTCAATTAGAGAGAGCTACATAGCGTAATAGTCTTAAAGCGTGGTAATCTTAAATCAATTAATTTTCATTGAACGGTAAAATGTTTCCATGATCATTGTTTTAAAACGATAATTCATTCTTATTTTGTATTAGAGTACTCTTAAAATGAAAAGAGACAAGATACATGAACGAAGCTCTTTCCGTTTGAATCTAGCTGGAAAAACTACTGCATAATTTCAAACATGTTTTCATCAGCGTGCA